TCAGAACCTGGCCATCGTCTTTAAAATAAATCGAAAAAAATCAAGATTTTAAAGCTAATAACTAATTTTATCCTTTAAGAGAAATATTTTTAGCCTAGATTAATTATCTTATAGAAGAATTTAATTAACGACCCCTATAGCTAATTAAGAAAGAAACTTATTTATATCGAAGTTTAAGTTTTTAAGTATATTATATAGTATAGCTTCTAAGCTATAGAGCGTAATAATAATAAGTAAATTATATAGATTATTATTATTTAAAAACCTAGCCTTAATTACGTAGTTCGGATAACAATTTTCAATTCAATTATAAAGTCGAGTTAAGCCCGCTTGATATAGATTCTCTATGCTTGCCAAGCCTGGAAGAGGTTCGACCGTGACAGCGCTAAGGATCCTTGGCAATTTTTTCGCCACCTGCTACGATGCTGGATATCGGATGATTATTATGATGTCGTCGTTCTAGAAGCCACACTACAGTATTCACCCGCAATGAAACTTAGTGCAGGCAAGCGGGCCCAGTAGAATCTCGTAAAACGAATTAGATTTTTGAATACATATTTCGTCGCTGCTCCTCTCCTTCCTAGCCCCTCTTGACTCTAGGATTCGCAAAAGTCCCTAATATTCGTCCCATATAAAGCTTGATTCCTGCGGACGCCGTTCTGAGAACCCTTGCTCCCGTATGATTCAGGTTTCTGCTTATCAATCTACATTCTTGAAGTCTCTCAGTTGTGTGCTTTTTGGCGCATCTCCTGGCCTTCATTTTGGGCGACCCCGGCGCTATATTCGATCTCGTCCAAAACAGAATTTTGATCTACCTCGTCGTTTTTAGTTGCCCTTCAATTATACGAAGAGATTTATAGAGCGCAAATTATAAGTCTACTAGATATATCCTATAACCGACCATCGACCCTCTATCTTATTCTATTTTCTTAAATCTATAATTAATATAAATCTAATCTAATAAGTTTTTATATTTAAAATAATAATTAAAATCTAGATAATTCGAATATTTATAACGCGTATTATATATATTCTATTTATATTAGATAAAGAAATTTAGAAGAATATTAAGATCGAAGCTTATTAAAAAATAGTTATCGTAATAGTATATATTCTATTAAATATTAAGTTTAATCTTATATTTATAATCTATTAATTTAACGACCGCGACTAATAAACTAATATTCTATTTTACTACTAACTCGAATTTAGCGTTTTTATAAGATATTAATATAAGACTATTATAATAAAAATTAAAAATTAAATCTAGCGTCTAATCTTCGATAGTCTTAATAATTAAATAGATATTTATAGTCTTTAAAATCTTTATAGTATTAATAGATCTATTTTTAATAGTTTAATATAATAAGATCTAGCTATCTCGATTAGTATAATTAAGATTAAAGCCTTTCTTTAAAAGCTAATTAACTATTTTAATTAAATCTTTAAAGACCGTATAATAAAGATAATTATATTCTTATATATTAATAATAGTTATATCTACTCTAAAATTTAATAATATTTTAATAATTTTTAATCGCTCTTTAGCGGAGGCTAGATAAAAGAGAGTTCTATCTTATATATTCTTTTAATTTATAATAGTATAATAATTTAATAGTATCTATGTTACTTTATTATAATCTTTATATAACGCCGCCTATAGAGCGTTACTATACTCTCTATCTTACGCGTTAATATTAGTTTCTTTATTTAGTAATATTATTACTACTTTCTTATAACCTTTCTATAACGCTATCTATAGAGTATTATTATACTCTCTACCTTAAGCGTTAATATTAGCCCCTTTATTTAAGAAACTTTCTACGACGTATTTTAGTTTAAGTAGAGACGCTATTTCTAAGCTAGTTTAATTCTTAAAGCTTAGATAAGTAAAATTATAGTATATCTTAAATTAGTAACTTTATTATAGTAGTAATATATTATATAGATTTTTATAGCGCTTTATAAATCTTTAGCTCGTTCGCTATTCTATAAAATATAATAAATTACTTAGTTAAGAGCTATATAGTCGAGAAGAAAATAAGATTTATCTTCTTATTAAGTATAATCGTCTTAATCCGACTAGTCTATAAATATACTAGCGAAGTTATTAAAGTTTAGATAATTAAGATAGATCTAAAATATAATATAATAGGTCGTTACTATATTTAAGTATTCTTATTACTTATCTAACTATAATTTAGAGAACTCGATACTTTAAATAAGAAACTCTCTTACAATCTAATAAATTAAGAATATCTTTTCATCGTAAATACTAACGAAAAGACCGTACATATTTTAGATAGTAGACTTAAAATTTTATTATAGTTATAAGTCTTAGTTAAGCGCCTTATATAACGTATAACTTATTTTTTAAGTTACTACTATTAAGATAATATTAACTTTCTAGAGACTAAGCGGTCTTATAACTATTATAATAAGCTGAAATAGAACTTAAGCTATGATTCCGTCTAAGCTCTTAGATAAAATCTCTTTATACGCGTTAGAGACTTTTAATAGTAGATAGAATAATAGAGAATCTATACTCGACATCTTACTATACTTACTTCGAGATCTCTTAATAATATTAAGAATAAGAAAAAGCTAGAGATAATTACGATTATCTATCTTCTTTAAACGATTAGAGATACGCTCGTAATACTTATTACTAAAGCCTTTCGCAATACGTGATATTTTATAATTAATTACTAGATTAATCTTCTAGCCGATTCTTTATAATTTATCGTCTTTATTAAAATATAGATAAATACTAATATCTAAGAGTAATCGAAATCTCTTCTTTAAGTTATCGTAAGAACGACTAATTACAATAAACTTAAGCTTAAATAAAGAATTCTTATATACTTTAATATATAAGAAAAAGCTTATTAGCTTCTTTAATAACTGAGTTCTTAAGTTCTTTTCGTACTCATCTAAAGTATTAAGAATATAAATAATTTCGCCTACTTCTAAATCTTAAGCGTATTTAATTAAAATCTCTTATAACTCGCTAAACGTATCTTATAATTTTCTATTATAGCTCTTAGCACTCATAAGCGTATAATTAATAAAAGCGATATTCTTAAAGAGCTAGTAAAGTATAGCACTTAGCGTATTAATATCACATATATATTATTCTTAGCTATTCTTAAAGAAAAAGTAGTAGATAATCGAGATTATAGTACTAGTATAGACTCTTCTCTTATCAATTAAGAATCGCGATAATATAGACTTTTTATATTCGAGGTTCGCGGAGATCTAGAGAAGTCTTAAATACTTACTATCGTGCTACTCTAGAAATCTATAATTCTTAAAAAATCACTTATAGATATTAGAAACTCTTACTAAAATCGAGTTCTTATCGCTTTTATAATCGAATATTAGAGTCTTAAGTAATTTAGTCTCTTAATTATCTCGACGATCTTACTATCTACTTACTTTAAATATCTTAAATATATTTAGAATATATTTTTAAATATTAAGTAATTATAATATATAAGTTAACTTACTATCGAAGAACTCTTTTTTTTTATTCTATCGAAGAGTATATAATATTACATATAACTATCGTTAGAGATTTCGATCTTTTTTATTATATCTCTTTAGTTATTTAGCTCTAATATATCTCTAATATCTCGCTTAAACGAATTCTAAGAGAAATAATAGATTAATCGAATTTAATACTCGAAGATATTAGAATAAAGCTCTATAATAGTCTAAACGAAGTTTAGATAAGTAAACTTATCTATAACTCGTAGATAGAGTTTTTCTTTAAGCTTATATAAACGTAAAAAATCGAAAATAAAATTAAGATCTTTAATTATAGTATAACTCTATTATAAGAAATTTAATAATAATTATACTTTAATTTAATAGTTATTAATATAGCTTTACTATTAGAATATTATTTATTAAAAAAGAATTAATACCCTTAATTACGCTAACGCCGTATACGACTAAACGCTAAGAGCTTAAAAAATAATATTATTAGACTAGAGAATAAATTTAATAATCTTTTTACTCTATTCTTATACTTTAACTAGTTTCTTATTAAGATTAACGATTTACTAATCGACTTTCTAATTTTATAAATTCGAATTAATAATAATCTCGATAAGCTTAGAGCTTAGAGAAGAATTTACGAAATTAGTATTAATAGAAACTAATTAATACTTATAAGCTACTATTAAATCTAACTCTTAAAGTTCTAATATCTTATATATCTATAGTTATAAATCTTTCGAATTTTTTATATCTATAATAGCGATTATATTTTTATTATAGTTATACTAAGTTAGCGATAAATATTATTTTTAATCTATAGCGAGTATTAACTTCTAGCGATTAAGCGAATTCTCTAGCGATATTTTCGACTTTAAGAGTTATAATAATTTCGAGTTATTTTATAGAGGTATTAGAGTTTAACTAAATTATTACTTTTAACTAATATACGCTAAAGTCTTCTTTAGATTATATTACTTAGAACCTTATTTATAGTCTTATCGCGTTCTTTCTATACTTAAAAATATCTTTAATTTTATAGCGTATACTTTTATATTCGCTATTACTATAATAAGACCGCGAAGCTTACTTAAAAGTTATTATATTAATACTCTGAAATTGCTAGAATATATTAATATTCGTATTAGATTATCTTAAATTATAGATTAAAAATTCTTAATGTAATATAGTAATAATAAGCGATTATCTCTTATATCGGACCGGCAATAAGTTTAGACTCTAATAATAATTATTTTAAATAGAGATTATAGCGAGGATTTTAAGACACAGCTGACAATATAGAGCGGGGTAATTATCCACGGCTCGGCCCGTCCCCTTTCAGAGTCCCTATACTTTCAGAGTCCCTTTACTTCCAAATTCCCTGCAGCCTTAGAATCCTCACAGTCTCAGAATCCTCACCCACAAAGTTTTTATTTCCTTGACTTATTTGAAACCCCTTCATACGAAGACAATAAACTCTCCAGGCGTGGAACTTCGCTATGCCGAGACTAAATTGTTATTCTCTTCGGATCGCAAACGTTCCGCAGAATACCGAGGTCACAGCTCTAATTGGAACGCCTGGGGAACTCATCCATTCCTCCTCAGCACGCCAAATGGAATCAGATAAAGCGCATACTTTCCTCGTGACGATCAAAGGGGATCGTGAGAAATTACAGAGATTGGTTAAGGAAGCACGGGAGGCGGGAGAAAAGAATGGTGCTCTGAAAAAGTATCACTACAGTGATGATTTCCCCGGCATGACGCCTTTGAACGAGGTCTCGCGTACACCAGAAACCGTGGAGTGAGTCATTCATGCTGCTAACCTCCATCGAACTCTCTGATCAAAAAAATAGCATCATCGCCGTGACCGGTCTTGGAGGGCACGCCTTGCTCACTTGGCAGCAGTACGAGGACGAGAACTGGCTGCGCGATAGGCTACCCGCGGATCTCACCAATTGCAAAGTCTGGACCTACGGCTATAATTCAAAACTGCTCGACAGTACCAACGAGTCCGGGACGTACGAGTTGGCGAAATCACTGAAGGAAGACTTCGAGACGGCGTTCCGGTATAATCACGTAAGCGTGCCGACTGTGTGCGTTCCTCGTAACGAGCAACTGACTGCGGGGCTCGAAGATGACTCGAGTCATAGTGATTGGACACAGCCTCGGATGTCTGCTTCTAAAACATGTAATGATACACCGGACGATCCAATACCTTGGCTGATAGCAGTACTAGGCTATGGTGCTTGCGCGCGAGCAAAGTCACGAACAATATCTCTTCTCTGATTTTATAATAGGCCTCGTCTTTTTCGGCGCACCTCACAACGGAATCGATTTCGAAGCACTGGAAGAAAGTCTCAGAGATATAATATCGAGAGCTCCTAGACTGATCTTAGATCTAAGACCGGGTTCAAACTTCCTCAAAGATATCGGGAACCGATTCAAGAATTATTTCGGCGAACGAGGTCCGAAGGTTGTTTCGGTGGTGGAGCAGAAGCATAGTCCCAAAGTGGTATATGACACGGAGGGAGGGAAATTGGTGAAGAAGAACGAGAAGAACTTCGCGGTCACGGCCGAGTCTGGTCAGCTGCATTGGCCAGATAAGAGAGAATTTGTCATCTTTGATGGAAATGGTGATCACTCGGAGATAGCAAAACTCATCCCCAGTAAACCGGAAAGCCAATACAAAACCATCTTGAATAAGATGGAAACATGGATCATCAACCCCTCACTCCAGACTCACTCGAGCAAACGTATGCAGAGGTCCGCTGGTTTCGACTCACCCAGCGCCAGCAATATCTCTGCGAGCGAACATGCTCTCGCGCACCAATCACCACCTCTTGCACTATGCGCTCCGCCAGCAGCCGAGCCAGATACATTAGGAGTTGGGTCTAAAAGCGAGGTGACACTGGAGACCTAGGGTTAGCGTGCGTCCGGCTGATCAACTTTCCTAGCCACATCCACCAGATACGAGAATACCACGCAAAGCTCAGATCTGGCTTGAAGACTGGCTCCACGGCACCGGTGTCGGTGGTTCGAATCCGCTATGTCTCCACGGAGGTCCGGAAACAAAGCACTGGCTCGGGCCGACCATGGTCTTCATTCAACAGAAGCTGTCGAGTATGGGTCATCGGGTCATATACTGTCCCAACGTCGGGGCGGGGAAGGATTCAATGGACGAGACATTCTCTACACTGGCATTTCGTTTGCAGGATCTACTAGGACATAAAATCGAGCTACACGGATTGGACCCCTCCACTCTTGTGGAACGTCTCGAAGGTGCTTTTCAGGATTTAAATGAATCGGTCTCGCCCTTGTTTGTCCTCGTCAATGGCCTTCAAGCTATCGGTCAGCGACATTGGGACAAGGCAGTAGCTTCGTCCGCCCTGACCGTGTTCCTAAGCGTTTTGTGTAGATCGTCACCTTCGTCTGCCTTGAAAGTATTGTTCATAACTCACAGTCTGCCAAACGCCTTGGCCACGCAAATGTTCGATAGGGACCATCATCAAATAGGCCATTTACAACTTGACCGAAAGCTTTCAAGCCTGCAATTTCCGCGAGCTGCGCAATGAATCGCCGCGGCGTCTAAAATCGAAGCAGATCCAACAAATTCAGCAACCGCCATCTATGATTATCACGCCATCTTCGCATGGCGACCCTAGCCCAATTCATCTTCCTCATACCGGCTTTCTCTACCTTTCGCTGTCTTTTTATTGAAATAGACCTCTCGGGACCGGACATCGTCTATGGCCTGCGCAACGTGACTTCTTTGGATAATGATCCCTGAGGATTCTCGATACTCGGCCTTTGTACCATACCAGTCCCATTGTGCGATGGCTGCGGCCAATTTGGCTACTTTTTATATCGGTCAGCCATAATAATCATCGCAAGGTGTCCATGCCATACCTGACACGATCTCTCGACCATTCCAACCATGATCCTTATCATTATCAATTTCCTCGTATGCCTGGATCGCTTCCGGCTGGAACTTGAAATGGCCGTCTTTTTGAATGTTTTCTTCACAATTACGGCGTACGTGCTTCTTTTGCGCAGGGTCCAGTTTCTCGTAATGTGCGATCATAGCCATGCGGTTGATCACAGCTTCATCGAAGGCTCTGATACGATTGGTAGTAAGGATGAGAATGCCGGAATAGTACTCCAATGCCCGAAGAAATACTAGGGCGGTCAGTAAAGCCAGTGCGGTGGGCCCAATCCAAGACATACCCGCTACGCATGCTGCTTTCTGAAGACTTTGTGAACGATCTCGTTTCTCCAGGAAGATATCGGCTTCATCAATCAGAACAATAGCATCCCATCGCTCTGCGCGTCTCAAATACTTAGAAAGGCTTTTCTCTAGCTGATTTGGCTCCAGTCCTGTCAATATAGTATCAGCAACGTCTATTACGCGAAGAGACTCACCTCTCCCTTACCAAGTTCCGCACAGGTAAGTCGTAACAACGGGCGATCTGTAGATTTGATCATCAGATACATTACGCGTCTTCTCGGAAATTCATACTTGACCATTCTGCCACGCACTCGGCAGTATAAGTCTTTCCCATTCCCGGTTCGCCGTGCAAAAGGATGATGCTGCCCTCTCCTTTGCCTGCAATGGAATCCGCACGTAATGGCTGAATAGTCTCTGGCGAGCTGCCTGCTCCGCCGTCCTGGGGCTTATAAGTCAGGGCTTTGATTCTCTCTCGGGTCGAGTCTTTGACGGCGACCATGGACAAGAGACCGGTGTTGGGCGTGACTGGTGAAGTTGGTTACCTCCGTTACACTCAATGGCTCAGATACAGAAGCAGAAAATCCTTACACTGTTCAATCTTATCGACGTCAAGGAACGCTGTGGCCACATTAGCGGGACTATGGCTTCGTAGTGCTAGGAACAAGTCACAGTACCCCATTGTCTCGCTCCCTTTGTTGCAAGGGAAAATCCTCGGATCCATTTGGGAAGCAGGAGGCAGATATCATCGCTGCGTTGGCCTGGAATCGTAGGATCGATCTTGATGAATTGTTTGAGCTCAGCACCAAGGCCCTCACTGCCTGTGTCTATATCATTTTCCCATGAGACTTTGTCGTCTGCACCGTTCTCCTTGAAGTATTGGTAAGGATCAACGATAACTTTTCCCTCGTACTGTGAGGTGTGTTAGAACATTGGAATTAACCGCGTGGATCGAGAACGAACGTGTTTATGATTTTGCCTCAAGGACGGATTTGAGGAATGATTCGACAAAAACCCAGAATACATTCGATGGGCTCCGCCTCGACTCAAGAGGTCCAAGTACTTGCGTCCTCGTTCGACACGTTCTTTGCGCTTTGTTTCGGCATTCTCTGCAAAGGTTTCCGGGTATACTGGAAGCTCCACGATAGGACGACTCCCATTGAAGCGATGAATGGTGACCGTTCGGTGTCTGCGGTCTATTTCGACGCCTACGGACCTCATCAGCAGTGTGCCACAAGCTTCCAGTTGCTGCTGACAGAAGTTCGTTGCTCGTGTGCTTACCATTATGATCCAAACACCACATATGTACAGTAAGGGTGACGTATGGGTCATCTACACCGATGCTCCTCCCACGGTCCCAAACAGCTAGCCTGACTCGGCACGCCACTTCTTCACCGTCGATAGACGTGTAAACGTAAATTCCCGGTTTGAACAGCATCCAGAGCGTTTCAAAAGTGGCAGATGGCGGTGACTGTTTATAGAGTTCCTTTTGTTCAGCCACCTGAACTTTCTGAACCTTATTGACCTCCTTCATGAGCATAGAAATCTGCTCTGCCGCTTCTTGAAATTCAGTAGCATCCTCATGCCCGTCTTCGAGCAGTTTTGACGCCTTTGAGCGATAAATTCTCTCCAGTTCATCAAAACCTTCTTTATGTACTCCAATGGACCGATACGGCTTGGCTAGAACTAGTTTGGTCTGGCCTGCATAATATGATGAACTGGGCCAGTACTGCACCACTTCTTTGATAGCTTTCAAAAGACGTGGAGAGTGCACTGTGATGTATTCTGACTGTATAGAGTCGATGACAGGATCTTCGAGAGAATGGCCAGTGCGTGGAGGGACAACCTTGACGCTCTTTTTCATTTCAAAAATCGATGTAGATGCTGTCTCTTTAACCTTCTCGTATTCTTCTTCGGTCATTGGCCCTTTCCAGGATGAAGGCTCCAGGAATCCTCCTTTGTTGTCCATGTAAACAGTCCTTAGGATCTTCATATCGGTAGTAGCTTCCTTCGACGACCCAGCTTCCGGAGTGGCCACAGAAGCATAAGCAGCAGGGCCTGCAAGATTGGGTGTAAGCGATGCTTCTCTGAGTTGCTGTTGCTGTGCGGGACGATGATCAACAATTTGATCGACTCCATAGACAAGGCCCATCAGCAATTGGTCTGTGGTGCTCAGCTCTCGAGAGCGGCGTGGTGTAGTCTGTGTACTGGGAGCTGGTGGAGGAGTGGTAGCGCATCGAGGAACCTCGGGGTCCGCTATTTTCTTTTTGAATTTTTCAAAAAGCTCACTAAGGATAGAGTCTCTTCGTATCGGTCAACGTCAATACTTCAGATAACGTTCGACTATAAGAGTTTCGAGGCCCAAATTGAAGGTCTGTGAGACTGAGATATGCGAAGCGCAGCATTCAAGGAGTCTGAAGAGAACTCCGCTGCACTACAAGACTGCTCGTACCTTTCGCGCTGTCTTGCTCATGCTTAAACGAGGGGACGGCGAAAGGGTGGCATTTTCCTGCTTCCAGCCAAGGCGCATCCCAGTTGGGTTTGGCGCGCCTGTATTGGGCAAGGTGCCATGCGTCGCCTCACCCGCCGCTTTCTTCAAGGTATAAAGACCTGCACCGCTCGCTGTTTTCCCACTTTTCCTCTATCTTTCTTCCACTTCTCCTTGCCGTCTCCTCGCTCCTTCTCGTATTGCAAGGGTCCGTCCCCCCCTTCCCTGCTGCCTAGCTAGCTTCTGCTGACCATCGCCGATCGCCGTGCTTGAGCCTTCGCATGAGCTGGCCTTTCCGTTAGGGATTACATCGCTACACTCTCGATTTACCTGCTTTGTTGTACGACTGGAGTCAGTGATACAGACGTTCCATCTGATTCGCCGCCTTGTGTATCCTCCTTTCCTCTACTGGCCAGCTCCAGATGACCATTTTTCAGCACATACTGGAACGTCTCTTCCCTCGGCTCTGCCGCTATGGCCTCCCTGGGCTCTCCCTTCCCTTCCCCGTCATAGTTTCACCACTGCTCAGCTGATTCTGCAATCATGCGACGGACTAGCCGAAAGTTTTCAGCTTGCCGAATCCTGACGCCTCCCTCGAGGCTCCACACAACCAATGAAAGGAATGTCTCATCCCTCGTGACGATGGCTCGAGCGTTCCACATATCTGCCTGGCCGCACTGACGGGGTCGCACCTCAGCTGCGGTTTGGAATGTGACGCCAAACAGCGGTAGGACAGCAGAATCAGCCAATGGAATCAGAAGAGCATGGGCCTGACCTTGATCGACAGTGGTTATTACGTGTATTCCTGGCATTGGCCTTGTCATTGCATTGATACTGCCATTTGTGGGTGAACACACAAAGGTTGGCAAGGAACATGTCGTCAATGTCTCCATGTTGGTGTTTGCAACCCTTAGCATCCTAATCACGACCGACTCCACAACACCACCGGCTTTACTGTGGACTGTGCGCCTGCTATGCGTATATACGACAATCTTTTATGCCAAGATACAGTACGAAAGCTATAACATGAGCTTATTCCACATCTTATCAGCCTAGAAATGAGCTAAGGCTTCCTCTGATGCACCCAATTACCTTCCTGTCTAGATAAACGAGTGTCAACGGCTCTCTGAAGATATCTAATAGAACTTGTGAGTTGGCGAACTCCTAATTGCTGTAGCCGGTTTAAAAGTGAGACCAGTCTCAACAACCTTGCTAGAGCTTTAACGTAGGAATTCTCAGAAAGACTAATAGTACGAGATCTTACTCTCTTACTATCAGCTATTTTTAGTCTAGAGACTTCTTGTAGAGTAATAGTTAGCTTCGCTGTCTGAGCTATTATCCCAGGAACAGTGCTTTCTTTATTCTAGGAGCCAGATTCTCCTCTATTTAATAACCTAGAAGCTTAATTCTCGTTAAAGCCAGAGTCTCTTAAGCGTAGTATTTTAAGACCTACGTCATCCGAGGTAGAGTTTTATAGGAGCCGTATTATCTTAATAATAATATATTTCTATTAGGCTATCTTCTAAGAGAGGCGTGCTAGTTAGTTCTAAGAGCTTTCGCTTAAAAACGTTTCTCATCTATAGATTTAGGATTAATATAAAACTTTAATAGATATAAGTTTTAGATATATAAACTCTATTATTCAACGTTTAATATTAAGCTATATTAAGAAAGACGATAAATAAGAACGTATATATCTTCTTTATAATATCTTATATAATAAATTCTTAATATCGATAATATTATAATTATTATAGCGCGTAAACTAAAGATTATCTTCTTTAAACGTATTACTTTAAAAAACTACTACGTCGTTAAACTTAATATTATAAATTTTAATAATATCTAATTAGCCTTTATAATTATACTTAATAAATTTAATTATATTAATTTAATAGTTAATAACGTAGAGTATAATAAATCTTTTAAAGAGCTATTAGATAATTAGATTAAGAAATAAATAAATATTAATTTTCTCGAGTTAAATCTTACTAGAATAACTATAAAGACTATAAAGAATAAGAAGTCTAATAGAGCGTTAATCTAATAAGTTATCTCTATTAGAGATTAAAGAAAATAATATTCTCTTATAAATCTCTTAGAATATAAATTTTACTAATATCTATACTCGTATAAAATTTAAATATTTAATATCTATTATATTTTTAATAAACTTCTCTATTAATACTATCTAGTCTATAATAATATAAATACTAAAAATACTATAGCGATATAAAATAAGAATTAAACTAAGAATTCGATTAAAGGCGTAAAGATAAAATATTAATTAGTAGTAATAAAGAAATTACTACTAAGAATAATTATAAAAATAAATATATATAAAGTAATTATAGCGAAGATTAAGATATATAAAAAAAATATAGAAGATTTAAGAGACTAAGTAATAGTACTATTTTAAGAAATATAAAGCTCTTTAAGATAGCTAAGCTCTATATACTTAAATAGCTATCTTAAGATATTATAAGTAATATATAAAAGCATTATATATATATAATAAAATAGAATAAATCTATCTTATATTCTTCTAATTTTTAATTTATTTATTTATACTTTTTTATATCTCCTTAACTATTTAAACCGCTACGTTTCTTCTATTAATAAGATATAGACGATACTATAAGAAGCCAAAGTCTTAATATTTCCCTTGCTTATAAGCTTAGATTAAGCACGCTATGAATGACTCGGCTCGGACAAAAGGTTAGCACTATTCTTATGGTCGTTTAGCGGTATGAAAACTGTAGCTGACTCGCAATGATCGGAAGCGAAGTCCACAGAGCTCGATCAAAGACAAAACTGAAGAATGAAACAGAAATCAGTACAGTGGATCAATACTTGCCCTATCACGTTCAATATGCATGTCAGTATTGGGTTAATCATCTCCAACAGGGTAATCTCAGTCGGCATGATGGTACTCACGTATATGAATTCCTTCGAATCCATTTCCTTCATTGGCTTGAAGGACTTAGTCTAATGGGCAAAATGTCTGAAGCGATACTTATGACTAAAGCGTTAAACGCTATACCTGAGGTATATACTATAGAGTAGTTCTATGTGTTCTAGGTGCTGATCCTTTCGACCTATAATTTCAAGCTAACAAAAATCTGCTAGCCTTTATTTCTCGAGTTCAGATACGTTATAGAAACGACGCCCCTCTAAGTCTATGATTCTCCCCTTCTTTTCAGCCCAGAAGCTAGTATTGTTAAATGCCTGTTCTCAGAAGAGTTACCAGCGTGGATAGAAAGACCACTAATTGTGGAAAAGAATTGGACGCCCTCTTTACAAGCACTTGAAGGTCATTCAAAATCGGTCAAGGCGGTGGTGTTCTTGCCTGACCGCCAGCTTCTGGCCTCTCTGCATCTGACGACAAGACTGTCAGACTGTGGGACGTTAAAGCAAAGGTCTATTGAGACAGAACACGACAGCGCTAAAGCCTCGAAGATGGTGGCGTTGCTAAACTTAATGAGCCTTCTCAGAACGTCGGATTTGAGGCACTGCTGGATAGTATGGCTAGGGAGGTGAACGAGACCGGTTGTAGGGACACGACAGAAGGCCTGGATGCGAGGATGGTGGTACTTAAGAAGAGGTTGGAAAAGGAGGAGGAACGTTGGGAAGGGCTGCTGAAGGCCTCCGATCAAACTACCCATGCTTCCTACAGCCAGGTTACAAACTAAAAACGAGATCGAGCGTGGAACTACTCTGTATCATCTTCCCGTCACTGCCCCCTTTATATGATCTAGCCCTCTATTCAGGAGAGGTTATCTTTTAACCCTTATCCTCTAGCTGCTAACGCGCCTTAAGCAAATACCCCATCTTACCATCTAAGTTTACCTACTATTTCTTCTATTAAGCTATTTTATATATTAATTACTATACCTTCTAAGTGAGTATAGTCTTACTAATCTTATTTTTAATAATAAGATATAACTTCTTTAGCTTCGTAACTCTATTCTATAATACGCGAATTTTCTTTATAATCGCCTTTATATTATCTTTATATTCATCTTTCTAAATAATCTAAATCTTATTAATTATATAAATATATTTAATATCTTATAAGAAATTCTTTAAATCGTCGAAGTCTAAATATCGAAAGAGATTTATATTAAAAAAATAATAAATCGTCGTATTATAAATAGCTCTCGATATTATATAAAAACTTATATTTCTAAAATTATAGATCTTATACTATATTTTATTTAGATTAATATCTATACGCGATTCTCTATATTAACATTTCTTATTCTTTAATATTCTCTTTATATTAGCGTCGCTTATATTATATTATTAGATATTTAAAATATCTAGACTATAAGTATATATAGTTAAAAATATATAGTCTTTAAAACGAAGGAGTAATATACTATACTTCTTCTTTAGAATTAGATAATAGATTATTTTTAAAATATTATATAGTAACTTAGAGATAAGATTAGAAATAAGATTATACTCGCTTATAGTACTAAAAAAGTTAATAAATCTATTAATACTTACTCGAGATACAACTTCGATTTATCTTATCTTAAAGACTATTCGTTTAATTTTATTATCGAATTTATTATACTAAATAAATTCCTTCTCTTTATATATTAAACTATATTTAGAGATCGAGCTAGTTAAATATATTTTATATTAAATTACTATAATTATCTATTAATAGAGCTAATATCTTAATTAGCGAAATATTAAATAACTGGAAATCTACGCTAAGAGTTCTAGAAACGCTAGTTTCGATTAATTAAATCGAAGTTTTACCGAGTGTCGATAAAGGTTAAAAGCTATGAATGGCGTATATTTATCGCCTATAGAGATCTCAAACGCGATAAAAATAATAAGATCTAGACTTTAAATCTAAAAAAGTAGAAATATAGCTATAAGATCTTTTCTAATTTATTAAACTATAAGATCTATTAATAGCGATAGTTAAAGTACGCGAAGGCGTTATTACTAGCTAGAACTTATCGATTCTTTAAATTAACTATAGACGTATAAAGCTACTCTTTTACTATCTTTTTATTACTTCGACTTAACAGCTTAACGTAATAGTATATTTCTAGATGCTATTCGTTAGAATAGATATTAATAATAACTTAAGCGATCTTAATTTCGTATAGATCCAATTATAGCCTAAGCCTATCTTTAGATAATCTTTCTTTTCGCGAAAATTTTAGTAATATAAGAAAATAATAAGCTTAAGTCGATTTAATAAAGTTAATAATAGTTAAGATATATTATTTAATACATTTCTAATTAGCATTTAAGATTTCTTCTAACGTCTTTCAAATAATTCTCTTATAATAAAAAATAACGATAAAAAGACTAGCGAAATTAACGCTTCTATTAAGGCGATAAGCGTTAAGTCTAAAATTAATATTATAAATCTTTAAAGCTTCTATCTAAGAAAATAGTTAAAGATATATAATTACTTAAGTTCTAGTATTACTAAACCTACTATCGAATCTACTATCTCTCTCTTTAATCGCTCTATCTCTTCTAATATTATACTATTCTATAATCGAGTTAAATAAACTATTTATAAAGATAATCGCAAAATAATAATAATTATTTATCTCTCTTACGCTATTATTATTATCTTATCTCTTTTTAAGTAATCTTAGAATTATAGAAATTTAATATTAAATAAAGAGAAGTAGAAGATTATAAGAATTATTAATAAGAGATAAAGAGAAAAGAGTTATAAATATAAGATGTACTAAAAGAAGATATAGCTATTTAAATACGAGTTAGAAAATATATAGAAAATACTATAAGAGTTTAAGATAAAATATTAAGCGTAGCGAGGAGATAAATAAGAAAGACTAGTATATATAGATAAGGATCGATAATCGTTAGTCACTATTTTATTTCTAGAAGGAGTTTATATTCTTAAAATTATAGATATTAAAATTATCTAATAAGTTTTAAAATACTACTACTATTCGCTATATCTTTTTATTTTATAAAATTAATATACTTAAGAAGACGAATACTTTATAGTTAATAATGTACGATTCTAACGAACGTATGAAATAATTCTATATATTATCTACTTCGCCCTTAGCTATTAATCGACTAATAGCGTCGAGAGTTATAGATCTTTATAAATATATATAAAGGCGCAGTTAAATAAATATATAAGTAGTTTTTCTATAACGCTAAATAATGAATCGAGAACTCTTATAAGAAACAGTTTAATGCAAACTCTTAAAAACCACTGAGTTCTTAAGACTCTAATCGTTATCAAATAATAGATAATTAAGTATATCGGTGGTTGCTAGTCTAGAATCTGACGTCTATGATGCGAGCCTTACGGGCCGCCTATCGAGTTCCTTTAAATTCAAAGCCCAGAAGATAAAATAAGCACAGTCGAGGCTCGTAGGACTATAAGCTCCAATGTGGTTATCGTAATTTCATTTATCTTTTACAGCGCGACCTGATTTGCATAAAGGAGCTCGAGCTAGACATTCCCGATATAATCGAGGTAATATAGAATCTTCTATCACTCAAGCGTAAGTCGGCTATAATACCCCTCCCACGCTTACTTACCTCGTCATATTTCATTGCCATTATCTTATGCAAGGTGCTGATCTTTATTCCACCCCACGGGCCGGGAATGTTTAGTAACACATCGAACGCAGCGGTCAGCTCCCGGCGACGAAGAAGTCCCTTCAGATTCTTCCTTCCGTGCGGCGTGAGTCGAGCCCACCGTCGGTTCTCGAAGGCAAGAAGCATCGATCTACGCTGACGAGCATGTACAATCTGGCCTTGGTGTTGAGCAGCCAAGGCAAATATAAAGAGGCCGAAGAGATACATCGATAAGCACTGGCGTTATCTAAGACGGTACTAGGCAAGAAACATCCTAATACGCTAACGAGCGTTTACTATCTTGCTTATTTACTGTACCAAAAGAAACGATATAAGGATGCGGAAGTGTTTTATTATTGAGCATACGCTGGATATAGAAAGACACTCGAAGAGAAGCACCCGACTACTATAGTATACTTACTGCACTATTCTTCGATGCTTAAGAAGAGAAAGGCTGGTAAGATTTGAAGGTTTATCGGTCTAGAGAAGGGATAGTCGCGAAGAAGCTAAGGCTTATAACGGAGCCAGAGTATTGGCTGATGCAGCAGCGCTTGCTCCCTCATGCAAATCGATATACACAACAACTCTTCACCGTCAAAGCATCTAGTGCAACCGAGGACCAAGACATTGATCATGCTTTCCACAACTTGGGCATCCTCTATAAGCGCCAGGGCAAGATGGCTGAGGCCGAGAAGATGTACCAGCGGGCACTGGAGGGATACGAGAAAGCATGGGGTCCTGAGCATACATCCACACTCGACACCGTCAACAACTTGGGCAACCTCTATAAGAATCAGGGCAAGATGGCTGAGGCGGAGAAGATGTACCAGCGGGCACTAAATAGATACGAGAAGATATAGAGCCGTAACCACCCTTCAACGCTTTATATTCTTAACAACTTAAAATTACTTAACACTAGTCGAAGTAAGTATATTAAAATAAAAGAGATATATTTATATACGCTTAATCAAAGTAATAAAGCATATAATATGAAATAGTATTTTTAATCGCTATTATTAATAGCTATAACGATCTTATATAGACTTAAAATCGATATATAGCGAGAGAAAAGAAGTATATAAAATAGTAAATAGTTTAAAATATTTTAACGAAAATCGTTTTTTTAAAATATTATCTATATTAGTAAATATATATAAAATATCTTTAAGGCTCTTAAAGATAAGGAATAAGAGTACGAGTATACGCTAAGTGTAGAAAGATACTTAAAGGAAATTATTCGACTTCTACGCTATACTTACGGAAGAAAAAGATAAGCAAGACTAAGAGTCCCTTCGTCTCTAAAATATTCCCCGTCCTATTCTCTACGAAGGACGTTAAATTAGTAAAAAGGATAGAAAATATCTTATATAGCAAAAGCAAAAGCGTAATAGTTTACTAGAAGAAAATTAAATCTAATGAAAAACGTAGATCAGCTAGCGCGATTATATTACATAGATATTACTTTAATTATTTATAGAAATAAAAGATATTATATCTATCGATCGACTAATCGTAAATAATAGTCTTCTAATATAATAGAAATCGTATATATAAATTCGATATATCGAGATATAAGCTAACTCGAGCTATTAGAAAGCCTTATACTCGTTATCTATTAGTCTACTATCTAAAGACTTTAATTACATCAGTTATAAAATTCCGTATAACTTAAAGATAAAGGACCTATCGAATAAGAGGTCTAGTTTAGTCGATTAGGGGTCTTCAGAATAGGCGAGTAGATTCTATAGAAGCAGGATGCTTAAATCGACAACACAACATATAACCACGAATTCCGCTCAGGTGAAGGAAAGGTTATTTTCATTCAATTACCTTCTTAACTAATAGATTTTATTATGCCTAACGCGGCAAAAGCGAAGACGCAATAATTCACCAGAAGGAAATCGAACCTTATGAAAAAGGTAGATCAGCTGGCACGATTATATCACGTAGACTTTAACCTAATTATCCGTAAGAACGGTAGGTATTATATATATTAATCGACCAATTACGATTAATAGCCTTTCACGATTATAGAGATTATATATACGGACTTAACAAATCTATTTATCTCGCGCTGACTCGATTATAGAAAGAATTATACTCTTTACTAGTAAATCTATTTCCTCGAGACTTTAATAAGCATAATCCTAAAAGTCGATAAAAGTTAAAGGAGTCGTTAACAACAGCGTTAGAAATAATAGGGCTCGAGTCTTTCCAGAACAAGTAGCGTTACAAGATTTTGTGAGACACTGCGCCTTCCTATATTATAACCTTGAGAGGGTGTACACCCTACAACGCAGGGGTCCTCTCGTCGACACCGTATCCTGTTTTTTGACCACACACCCTAGTAAATTCTTGTTGTTAGTGCTTATCGAGGGCTTGAAATTGCCCAATAAGCCCAATGCTCCTCATGAAATCCGCCGCCATCGAAGCATAGCGTGGTTTTATTAGCATGTCCCTATAAGTAATCACCCCACCTTCCGCCTTTCTTCTTTCCTCGGCCCACCACTTCCTTCGTTGCTTGCTAAACAGTCTACATTCGTGTAGAATATGACGAACTGTCTGTTGATTCGCTCCGTCGGAAAGAGTTCAGCCGACGGCATTATATCTGGAAGACCTTCACATGGGATGAGAAGACGCAAAACCTGTTCGCAGTCGCAAAGAAGGATGAAGAAAAGGATCGTACGGTAGTCACTGAGGACGCGATCGCAGATGTTGTGGAATTTGTACACGAAAGCAATAGACATGGTGGGTGGGATGCTACATGGAAAGATATTAGCAGCTCATACTACGGCATTCTGCGGTCGGACGTTATACGCCTACTTAAAGAATGCCAGACCTGCGCTCTGAACCCCTCCAAACGTCCCAAGGGCTCCGCAGCCACAATGCAAAGCTCTCAACCGATCGATCACGAGTTTCTTGACTTCCTGAGCACTGGCGACTTGCAGGATGACATCCCAGCCTGGGATGTACAAGAGGATGGGGAACACTCAGGTGAATAATCAGGCATGGTGTCTTGGTCGAAGAATGACTTTGTGTCTGGAACTCGGATGAGGTCGTGGCCGGCAAGAGCAGTGCAGTACTTTCGAGGTGTATGACAAGGGAAATGTATTGTCTCATGAGCCAGAAGCCCTCCCCATCATATAGTCCCTTCCCCCAAAGCTGACTTCGACTTCCATGAGTTGGAGGCAGCAGTCGAGATATCTAAGTGTGTTCCATGATCCTAATGGAGTTCGGATCATGGGAGCTACCTAATGCTTAAGGTCGTACATGCGTGGGGGTGGATCAACTGGAGAGGATCCAGCGCTGCCAGGGCAATTTTCCGTAAGCTTGCCAAGCATATCGCAAGCAGGATGTCAGAACGTCAGAGTACCTGCTGTTCGTCTACATTTGAAAGAGGACCTGAGCGAGCGTACATAGGAACTGCATGATCTCAACAAAATCTGGTATCTACGCCATACCTCAACCATCGAAACTACAATCCAAAAATCGCGCTATGTTCTATCGCGTATTTCGCCACTTCCTTCTCTAGAGGCCGCTTTCGGAAATCTGGGTTACACGGGACCACAAGTTCTCCAGAACAACCCTGAAAATGGCAGAGGTACCAAAATTGGCGGAAGGTGCCGATTCTGAGGCAAGGTAAGAAGCTGGTATTTAGTTTTCCCGACACAGATAGCCTCAACATCCGATCTGCTCTCTCGATCCGTCTGTTTTCACGCTCCCCAAAACAGCCTCTCATGATCGACCGCCAACAAAACTTATGCAATATTCCTTGCTTGGGACCAATCGACCTAAGAATATATGCCTTGCTCAAGTGAGGCGACCAAATAGATTTCCACCAGAATTTAGCCCCACGTAGCCGCTCTTCTGCACCTTGATGGCAGTTTTGGCCTATATTTAGCACGAAACGCGGGCGTAGCAATGGCGCTGAGGCCCACCATCGCTCCATCATCGCTCGGCTAACGCACGGAACCATCTGGATCACCAATACGGACAGAACACAAGCTGATAATGCTCAGATCCCACGACTGCTGCCCAAGTCGCCCCTAGCTCGTATAAGGGCCATTACGCCAACTCGTCCCTCCAACCAATCCCCAACTACGTCTCGCGACCGCGATTGCACCAAAAGGTTAAAGAGCAGTTGCACGACCTCAAGAATAACGGGGTGGAAGACGTGCGGATCCTAGTGGTGTGGGGGCTCGGTGGAGCGGGAAAGTCGCAGCTGGTGCTGATCTACATCCGCGAATATCGACGGGACTATACAGCTGTATTTTGGATCGAAGCTGGATCCAAGGAGTCGATCGAGCGCGACTATATTCAAATCTACCGACTCCTTTACAGTCGCCAGATTGATGTAGGCTATGAGATGGTGAAGGTGGAAGATGCGGTGCCTGCGGTTAAGCGCTGATTCCACGATCGTGAGGGGCGATGGCTGGTGGTTCTGGACAGTGCGGATACCATCGACAACAACCGAGATAAAGCCTATATCGACCTGGGCTATTTCATGCCCGACGCGCCTGGAGTATATGTTGTTATTACCTCGCGGAGCTTAACAGCTAAGGAGATGACAACGCTGGACGCGGTGGAAGTGGCGGAGATGGAACCCTCGGAAGCAACAGAGCTGCTCCGGCGGTACGCGAAGCTTACGAAGGAAGGGCCGGATGTGAAGAGAAGTCGATGGAATCGTGAGAGAACTCGGGTATTTGGCCTTGGCGATTGCCCTGGCCGGCTACCATGAACATAAAAGCGTTGGTTGTTGACGCGGATCTGCTTGACTTTCTTCGTGGAGCCCCACATGTAAGATAGGCATGCATGCTGCGAATCAACCTCAACATGCTTTAACTGGCATTTTGTCAATCCATTTTCAAGATTCGGCTGAATCCATACGACGCGAATTTCACGAGTCGACGGGTCAATTTTGCTGTAGCGGAATTTATCTCCTCTTGCGATTCTTCTCCGCAATATAACCATGATGCTTTCCTTGTAGTTGGATATGGCAAGGTCTATCTGCTTGCCTTTCCGACGGCAATCTTGGTGTCAGTATCAACATCGTTGTGCTGCCTGGCTGCCAAGCTTCTGAGCCATACGAATAACGCCACTCGGCTGAGTTACCTCGTCCTCCCGTCTAATCCCTGCAGAAACCAGCGTATTACGCCCCCTTACTGTACTCTGCATGCTCACTGCATTTTGTCTTTTCCGGAACGAGGAGGTGCGACTAAGACACCCCGGAAGATCTTGTAGCCTTGAGGAAAGATCTCTTAAGCGGCTATGACCCAATGTCTTTTTTCTAGGCCACCGCGAACTATAAAATTATCGAAGCCATAATCGCAAATTGTTTCATTGCCATCAAGGTCCCGTATATCTTGACATGGTCTTTGAATAGGATAAACAAGGGAGTAGTATGTCTTTGCACATATGTCCAATCGCACGAATCATGAATGAGCTTCGCATGTGGCGCCGTTCAATTTCTGACTGCCCCCCTCCATGATCTTAGACATTCTTTGTACCTGAACCGCAACCATCCTCCCCGATTGAGGCAGAGAAGAACCCTCGCTTACCTTGAGTTAATATCTCTTAGCGCGCGTTCTAATAATATTTATAAAATAAGAAATTCGCGGCAAGCCGTTTTTGCTTGGTGAGAGTGCGTGCGATATGAGCAATAACCCTAACGATCGCCTCCACGGGAGATCTACATGGAAATCGGGCACTAGAAGGGTCCACCCAGAAATGCACTTCCCTGGGATATGCACTCGGTTTTTCCACAACGTTTTGATAAAAAATGTAATAAGCCAAATTATAAAGCGTAGAATACGATTTATAAGCCTTTCAGAATTTTTGAAATTGAAGCCGTATTGACCAAGTTAGATACAATAAGTAAAAATAATTTCAAGTCCTTGACCACTCATCCAATAAATCAACTGCACCAAGCGTATCTGGATGATTTGGCCCAATAGTCTTTGTACGAAGATTAACGACAACTTGAATCAACTCGATCGCCTCATCCTACCGTCCCTGATTCCGATACGTTGCTGCCAGATTGACCATGCTGGTCAGCGTGGATGGATGCTCTTCTTTCAGCACTCTCTTTCTCGTCTCCATCACTTGCACCTCCAGCTTCTCGGCCTCATCCCACCGTCCTTGATTCCAGTACGTTGATGCCAGATTGGCTATGCTGGTCAGCGTGTCTGGATGTTCTACTCCCAGCGTGTTTCTTTCTAGATCCAGAGCAACAGAAAGGCGGGTGCTAGCAGCCTCATATCGACCTTGTGTGTTATCTGCAGACCAAGGTGAATATATACGCTCAAGGATATCTAATCTTTGCTACGTCCGATCATCACATCACAGGTTATTACACTGCTTAAAATTGCCAGGCTTCCTTACGACATTTCAGCTCTGCTGACCCGAAACGTACCAACGTCCAAGGCAAGCTCGTCAGCTGATATCTCAGATTCTGGGTAAGTAACCTCATTTGATGACGACACGAAGCTATCTGTAGATAAAATCAAGCTTGATTATCTCGGATCTAGCGCCTTATCATTCGCCGTAGTTATAAACTCTTCCTATTTCTCTTTTATCTAGTTCTTAATATTTCTTAATACACTAACTCCTTATCGAAAGATATTTAAAGTATTAATTATAGCGAATAACCTAAGCTAGATTATACGATATTTAATAGAATTTATAGAACTTTCGAATATATTAGAATAGGTTATATATATAGTAAGAAGGCTACTATAATAATAGATTAATATAATTATATATATATTATTATTAAATAATATCTCCTAATCGATATATAATTATAACTTATATATCTCTTAAGTATTTAAAGTATAGTTATATAAAGCTTATAGCTTATATACGTCTATAATCTTCTTTAGATCTTTTATCTTTATAAAGAAATTAGATAAATATAATATAGTAATATTTATTAATAATACAATATAGAGCCCTAGCTCTTTTTAGATCTACTTTTTAAATTCCGCGAGATAACTTTTATTATAGAAATCTGGCTTAGTCTTAATAATAAAGTTATTAATTAAATATTTAAGATTTTTAAAGAGAAGATTCTTCTATAAAGGAATATCGGCGGTACTAATAATAATCGAGAATATCTTATTTATTATAATATTTTTAATTAAAGCCTATATATTTATTTTTTTAAACTTCTAAAACGCTTTATAAGAAAAATATAATAGTAAAAGAGAAAGCCGTAGCTACGCTAGCCTCTTATTTATTTTCTCTTAATTATTTAAATATATAGAGCTATTATTATTATTATAATTATATCTATAAAGATAAATATTATAATTAATAAGATATTACTCGAAGATAGAATTATATATAGAGAATTTCTTTATCTTCGAGAAAATATCCAATTCTCTTTCAATTTTAGCTCGTTTTCTAGAACTCGATTAATTTAATAATCATTCGATTAAAAAAATAACGATTTCAAATTCTAAATACTAATATATAATTAGAAGATAATTTTAAAAGATTTAGATAAAACTTATAGCTCTTAGATTCTTAAGATTTAATTTATTATATCTTACGAAGCGCTTAAACTATATAAGATTAATATTTTTCTTACTAGTTCGATTAAGCGGTAAAGAAATAATAGATTACTCTATTCTTCGATTAAACTCTCGAAGAATACAAGAAGTAAGCCACTGCCATAACAAATTATCCCAAAACCAGCTAGGTATCAGTATAAGGAGGCCAAATGAGCTATAGATCGCAAGATCAAAGCGCGAGAGCGGGAGCTTATGTATCAGATCCAAAAAGAATACAACGCCGTCGCTCCCGTGCAAGATATGTCTCGTTCTTGGCAGCTTCTAGCAAATGGCGTCCATACATGGGATCGTTGATCGCCTCCTCATATGAGTTCGGTATAGGAACTGGTCCCATCATTTCGTCATCCTCCGTCTGGTGAGAACACAATGAATTTTGTCCAGATCAAAGCTCAACGTGGATCTCAGATTGCTACCTCCGACAACATCTCAGCCTTCCATATCTTTCGCACGATTAAACCCCTCAGCTACTGTATGACTTTGTCCACCGACAGGTGCTCCGCATTCCGGACAGCGAGCGAGCTGCATCGGCATACCGCATTCACCTATTGCAAACTGCAGCCAGATCAGTAACCCGAAAATCCTGTCACAGTCTCTATCTACTTACCGGATGGCCGTTCCTACGATTGTACCAGTGACCAACGGCCACGCAAAACGAATGCAGGTTTTCAACGCAGTACATCCGCGATGGCTTACCGCAAAAGTTTGGTGTAAGAAAACAACCAAAGGAGAAGTACGAGGTCTTAGAGACCGATTTAGACAATCTGACTGCAACTCTGTGGCGCAAAAATGGTTGTTCTTTCAAGCAGGAACGAATGCGGGTTCAATTGACACTCTTTCTCCTACTGCATGCGTACTCAGGTGCTCACGCTGGCACTTTTATCGAGAGCGGCTACTACTATAAGGGTTCTGGCAGATGCTTGAAATACGAGGTCAGTGACTCATCTTTGTATCTAATTGTGGCTAAGAAGATGTTTTTCGGTTGCTCTCGCATTCGCAGAAAATGCTTTTCGAAGTATCTTATCCCTAGTCCAATTCTGGAAGGTTCGACCTTCGGGCGCCAAAAACAATTTGAGTTTCAATGGAACGTTGCATTTATGGATATCCCGGTCTTTCGATCGTTCGATAAGGACTGGGCGATGGGTAGAGATTCCCCTGCCTGGAACACCCACTCAATGAATCGTTTGTTGAACAGCCTAACGGAAACTGCCGGATATGAAAAGGGCTCTATTGCAATCCATACCTTGCGCCGAGGCTTCGACAATCGTGTACAGCGTGAGTGTGATCCTCGAATTGCTTAGGTCTCTTTGAATGAACCTTGCTAATATGCCGATACTAGCACATGTCACGACCACGGAGCTTTCACAAGCCCTCGGTCACAAATCTCAAAAGATGTATGAGCAAAAATATAAATCACGGATATCCAGTATTGATGGTCAGGCCCTTTTCTTGAGAGGAACTACTAACGCGAAATCGATCGAGTATCTGCGCAGTGCTGCCCGTCACCGAAATGCCGATTTGCCTCGGAAATTGCCGGCCCAAGTATTCGCTGACCTTGAAGATAGCCAAGAAATGACAGCGCTTCGGGGCAGGCTAGTAGCATTGTCGTCTGAGGAATGGGATGAGCGCAAAAAGATCGGGGAGATATAGCTGCGGCTGAGAAAGCAAGCGCTCAAGACGTATCAGGGCCAATGGCTCCAAGAAGAATATGATCGAACAGTGTCGACCGCATCAGTAGAATGCAAGAGACAAGCACCGAGACTACTTATGTTTGGCGGGCAAAGTAGACGACTGGACTCTAAGCAAAGTCATCATGAATCAGTTTCGAATTCATCATAGCTTTTTTAATTCTTTCTTTTCATGTACTGCTATTCATCAAGGTCCAAAATGCACCGTTGTAGCCCAGGACAAAGGGTCATCGCAACTTCGGCGTGCGGCTAGAACCGCGTCATGAAGTGCATAGGCTATCTTGTTGTGTCCAGTAAGATTGCTCCGAGCAAAAGTTATCTGATAGAACTTCTCCGCTATGGTCACAGAAAGCTCATCATCAGCTTCCCACAAAGAATCGATCACGTGAGGAAAGCCAGAGAGCTGGAAACCGCTAGCTAGGTGGATTCCTTCATCCATGAGTAGTGAAGACGCATTTTCTGCAGTACAGCAGGCAGATAGGAAAGCAAGGTGCGAGTTCTCCGTATTGACCGAGCTGATAGACTCGACCGTGAGTATGCTGTTCTGGGTGTTCTCAGCGAAAATCTTTTCAGGTTCATCCCCACACAAGAGTAAGCCACCCCGAAATGGACTGTTTGGGTCTGCGTAGCCATGGCATGCAAAGTGGACGGCATTGAAAAGTGGTAAATCGTCCAGGACCACCTGTACGGGAGCTAACTCACGTAATTCGACAGTCGCGAGAATCTTTGCAGCTTCTTGAATAATTTGGGCCTCCTTGGCTACTCCTGGAAGATCGGATTCATTTGGTGTCTTCGGCATTGTGACCAAAAGCAGCTTCGAAGCGCTGGGTTGAAGCGTTGTCTGCTTCCGTCCTGCAAATGCTAGGACTGTGAGCGTTGAAGCGTAGGAGGATATTACGCAGCTCATGGTATTTTTCCGTAGGTATCGGGATCCATACCCAGCGGCATGAAAAGGGAAAGCACCCATATAGCCAACACCAATCCAATAAATTCGTGGAAACTTAGGGGCATTAGCTGGTTTCCGAGTTCTGAATTGAGCCCTAGGAGATTCGGTAGAATTTGCAGAGCTTGTAATGTTGGGCTGTTGCTTCATTAATTCTTGGAGGATCACCAGCTGGTCTGAATTGGGACATCTAGGACCAGTGGTGTTTCTTAGATTGGAGAGGTGATCTGCCTTGGTCTTGTTAACTAGTGGATCGTAATCGTAGAGAATCTTCAATGGCTTCAACTTTAATGCGTCTAAAACCGGTCCAACTACTTGGTCCCATAACCATTCCAAGAAGTTTCGCATGTCCGTATTCGATTTTGCCCAATCTCCATGATTGTTGTACCCAAACCTATTTTGCAGTTTGCCATAGTACTTAGATGAATTTTGGAAAACTGACTGATCTAGGGGTAGAGTCTGGACGTCTCCGTTGCCATCAATGATAACAGCGTCTGTACGGAAATGAGTAGTATTCAAAAGAACTCTGGTCTTTTTTGCGGCAGTGTCAAGAAGCTGGTCCTTCGAAGAAGAAGTTTTGGAAGTTTTCAAATCCCTCTTTCGTGCGGATTTCTGATATCAATTCACTCAACTCAGAGACCAGAGTGCTCCTTGCAGGGATAGTGTTCCCGGCGCTTTCCCTGGATTCGGACGGAGCATTACCCAGAACTCTGAGATTTTCAAATCGCTTTGCCAAGCGTGGATAGGACTCATATAGAGTTGAGAGGTCATTTCTTGAATTGATTGTCAGCCGATTGATGGCCCCTCGACCTGATTCTAGGATTTCGAGGGCATCATAGCCATCATTGTTGCATTGCAGCGAAACTGCACAGCCTGTTGCGGCCAGTCCAGAAATCGATTTCATCATATATTCCTGATCAAGCTTTGAGTTCAGAGGCGAGATCAAGAATGGTAGAAGTTTAAAGCCGTTCTCCAATAGGCTTTGTGCTTCGGGCCATCTTTGAGATATGGTCAATAGGTTTACAGCAATCTGACAACCACGAAGACGCAATGATGGGGGGCTGTTCAAGCATTTACATGCTTCTTGACTGTACTCGATTGCCTGCGTGAGGTCTTCTTGCTTGCCTTCTCTTTCGTACCGCGTACTGAGAAGAGTGCTGAGATTGTTGAGCAGACTAGCTCGATCAGGATTCCCCCTCGGTGTCAGATCGACAGCTTCTTGACTGTACTCGATTGCCTGCGTGAGATGATTAAGGTCGTATATTTGATAATAAAGACCTTCGAACAGTTCACCTAAGATGATGAGGAAAGTGAGATGATGAGGTGATTCCAGCGAAACTTGTGAGAAGGCGTTCTGCCCATATTGGATTGTATCTTGCAAGTGAGCCACTTCACCACTTTGCTTGAACAACAAAATGGATTCTATCCATCTATTCAAAAGTACGTTTATTTGATTTGCCATATCTATAGGCGTAATGAGGACGTTAGGTTTTAAGGGATCTGAATGCGAAAGCTAATTTTATTGGGACGTACTGTTGCCGCTGTGATCTATGTTGGAAAATGTGGCAAACAGCCCTGTGATACTAGTGGCTTGGCAAACGCACAAACATGTATTCTACTTTCTCCTTCATGGCCGGCGACGAGATCCAGCTGTACGTGCTGCCGGCTACCAACCTGTTGCTATCACGGTATTCAGCAGAGCCAAGAGATCTCATGTTGCTTTGGGCTCGTCTCAAAGCAACGCCTATAAGGGAACCTGGTTACGAAAACCATCCGACGCGTTGTTTACCTGACTCGTACTCAGGCCCGAAGCTGAGCTTATCAACTCAGTGGAAGTAATATCGTTCTATCAACGCGACAGGACACCCTTGGGCTTGCCGTATACTCTGGGATTGTGGAGGCTCCGGCGCGGGCCAAGCAGCGAGGGGAACGATCGATCGATAGTCTACCTCACTCGCACTGAGGCCCGAAGCTAGCTACTGGGCGTGAAGGTAGCTGGTGGATATGGTATCGTCCTAGACTACCGGGGGAGCAAGCTTGGTTAGTGGGAATACTACAACTGCCTGGCCAGGGCTACGGGACGCAGCGGAAAAGTGGTACTCTTGCAAGACATGGTCGGCTTGTAGAGGGAGATCTCTGCAGGTAACGCGAAACAAGCTCTCTACGGGGACTTGCGGGGCATGGTGTACAGTGGTAGCGACTGCTCAGGGCTCAAGCACGCATACATATGGCCCCAGGGACCTCACCCCTTCAATGGGCTCTGGCCCCTGGTGGATCACTCTCTCTCGGGAGAGTGAGACAGCCGTAGTTCGTCGAGGCCTTGAAAGAAACTGCCTGTACACCCCGAGAGGACAGACGCGCATGTCGGTACGTGGAGTGTAGGAACCAGTGGGCAGCTGGTACGCTTAAGTACTACGTGCTTAAGGAGCAAACTGCAAGTGACCTAGGGTGAGAGGAGTCGTTAACCTCAAAAGTCCATCTCCATGAGAGCGTAAAGCTAGGGTAGGGTCCTGGGTAAGCAGGACACGCTGAACCTACAAATCGATTAGGCTAAGCGATCAGTTGCGACATGGCAAGTATGGAGTATGGGCGCAGATCCTCGAAGCTGTAGGCTTTGGAGGGGAGCTGAGTGTCAAGTGTGATAAGAATACGTCAGATACGTTCACGATCAATATGTGCCTGAAGGCGTCTTTGAGGTCTCGTTTGACGAATTGGGCCCCTGGGCCTTTCAGCAATAATGCTTCTACTGCGTCATCGTATGTAGCATATTCTAAAGCCCCCCAATCTTCCTGGATACCATCATTGACTGATTGACCGTGTGGAAAAGAGAGGTCGTGGATTCGCCTCCAACCGCCATCGTGCTTCGGTACCAATCCCAACGGCGAACAGACGTATTGGGGCTTTCCCTGGGGGTAAACCTCAGTCAGGCGATGCTGTTGGAGCTGTTTTTGGAGGTCCGCCGATAGTATTTGCGGTGTTTGACGTGCTGATAGGTGATTGTGAATGTGATTGCGATGGGCTGGAATATGGCCTCGAAATCCTATTTTGGCTCCCTTCCGAAGAATAGCCGAGATCGACTTAGCAAAAAAGAGGTCCGGGTGATCTTTCAACCACTTATCCCAACCATCAACTATCAACGGTCCTTGATAGAGCAGATCCAGGTCCAGTAGATCGTACAGCGCGTAAGGGAATCCTTCGGATACACACTGCAGTGACCAAGGCACCCGTGGGTGCCCTGGGAGTCAGTCGGCCTTGGTAACTCGATTTCCCAGTGGCAACTGATTGGAGCGATTTCCAGCTGAGTTCTGGGCCTTAGGGCACTTGTCTGCAGAGTGACCTTGCTGACAGATATTGCAGATGTGTGTGTAGGGGCATCGCTCGCGAACACAGCGACTCGCATTGAAATTCCTGCAAATTCCATTGCCTCCGAATGCTGCGGGTTTATTAGGGCCAGGCCAACCAGAATTTGGCCTGTTGTTGCTCGCAGGAGTCCCTTTGGGCACGAGAAGATCTCTACAACTCTGATCGTCCGCTCCCAATCCTTAGGAACGTCCTGGCCGCCCTGAATGCGCGCAGTCATAAAAGCGAAGTGGTAGGCGAGGATAGAATTCCATCTATATGTTAGGGGCAACCGCAACAGGCGAATAGCATACAAATGGAGGGCTTCATTCAATTCTTCCTTAACACCTACATGCGCAAAGTGACCAGCGGCATGGATATCTCCGGAGAGACGGCAGTGCTCGCACCTGACTTATGGATATCCAAATATGGCGGGTGCCAGAAATGGACTCTTCTCTTTGAGGTGCACCTTCCCCCCTTTCTGTCTTTGATCAGGTCAATTTCCCTTTCTCTGTTTGTTTTTAATACTAATTAAAGCTTTTACAGTCTTTCTGCCTCGACGCCTTTCGATCTGCTTCCACAGGCACCCTAGTAAATTAGGTTGTAGTGGTCTTAGTGGCTAGAGATGCCTCGCCATAGACTCTTCAGATAGGACTTTAGGAACAACAACGGAGCCTTGCTCTTATGAAGTACGTAGTTTTAACCTTTACTTTTTAACGTGAGGTAAGCGTCATCTTTGATAATATGAGCACTGAAATTTATTCTTGTATATGTCTTGGGACCAGGGTTTTCATACAAATAGTGTCCTTAAACAAGTGTTTCCAGACAAGCGACGTCCTCAGACTAGCGTTTTGGGACAAATAATGTCTCAAGACATAATATGTCTTGAGACATATGTCAGAAGACAAATATTGTCCAACGACTAATCACGTCTGAAGACAGCTGTTTTCAGACCTGATATTTCTTGGGACATATTACGTCTCCGGACACATGTCGCCAGACCTGGCATGTCTTGAAACATTAGTCTGAAGACATCTTATGTCTAAAGACTACATGCGTCTAGAGACAACCTGTCTGAAGACAGTATTAATCTTGAGACGGGTTATTCCCAGTATTTCGGTAGGCCATAGTCTCCAGACCGATGATGTCTTAAGATAACGGTCTCATGATAAAAGTGGTTGATTGGTCTTGAGAAGTTATTGGGCGGATTTCAGCCAATGGAGCAGATACCAATCAAATTCGAGTAGATATCAGCCCAACATGCTCTTCAGTCCCTCTTGGACCACCTCGGCTTGACAAGGAGGTGGTATTTGGAGCGACATGTTGATAGGTTATGCTACAGACTACTATTTCTTATACTACATATAAACACCGACCACCAATCCGGCCGTCGTGCCTACCCTTCTCTGGGCTGATATTCCGGATACTGCTCACGGTCAGTTATGACGGGCAAGCTGACAAGAGACCTTACCCATCACCAGCATCTTTCCCTTCTCCCTCTGAAGCTTCCCTGTGACCTCTCGTATGTGTCCAGCCTCGATTTGGGCGGCTTCAATATCTCTGTACTGGTTCTCTGTATTCCTCACGGCTATCTCGTCTCGCAGGATACCCGTTACGTCTGCCGAGCCTCGGTAAACGATGCCACGGCGGCCAAAAGAGACTTCTTCCTCTTTCAAAGAGGTTGAAAAGATTGAGATGGAGAGAATCTGTAGGCTATATCAGCGATGCCTCCTTAATCAGCGCTCATTTATCACCTTGTCCAGACTGTCGCCCTTCAAGGCACTGTTCAGTAATGGTTGCATCGCGAGTGCAGTCTTTACATTCGTAAGCTTTGTCTTATTTGTATGGATGCATCGGCCTTGCTTACCGATTCGCTGTACCTGCCAGATTACGCGGATTCGACGTGTGTAAATTTTTCGAGTTTGATACCTATGGATCATTTGTGAGAGATATGGCAGAAGGGCGGCCATCCCAAAACCGATGACAATCATAAGAATGCTTTCGTACTCGCCCACAAGGGCACTAATTCCATAAGGTCCACTGAACAGGACCCAGCGAGAGCTAAACTTGGCCCCCCTTTCACGGGCCTGCGCATGGTATAGGAGTTCCCGAGTAAGCCCTCGGCGAGGTTCCATAAATAGTTCCAGTTGAATTTGCTCTTCAGGCGACCAGGAGGTCACCACGAATGGATGACTCTGCAGGAAGGACGAGAAACTCGCGGAAGGCATCCACAGGTTGATATATTGTCCGGCTTGGATCGTCAGCGGCCGAGAAAGCCTAATGCTGATCTTAACCGAGCCCTCAGCATAAGTGACGAAGGCTCGGGCGGGACCGTGGCGGAAGGTCCCATTCCGCCACACGATGCTGACACATTGGACCACCGACGTAGAGAGGAATAGCGCCGCGGAGATATAAATGTACATGCGTGGGAAGAGCGAATCCGACGGCAGATAACGCCAGATTGAGTAGGCAGAGAGGACGGCCAGTGCTTAGTGCATCCGCAGGAAGACTTCGTAGGAGGGTCTGCGCAAAAGGGGGTGGGAGAGTAGCACAAGTAAACATAACGATAATCCTGCCTATACAGGGTCAGTGACAAACAGCGTGAGCGAGGAGAATAAACACACGATTGTGCCGTAGAGATGCTCCGATATATTTAGAGAGAACGATATTTGCTAAATCACGACGACAAGGACATAGAATAGCGACAGTGTAAACGACATCAGACCTGCTGAGCAGTGAACGTAGCGATACGAGTCCAAACGAAAGCCGAGCACGTCGGCCAGAAAGCTGAGGTGAGGACCGGCGAAGAGAGGGACCATATTAACCAGCGACAGGTTCCCCGCTCGGAGACCAGCTTTTGACAGTGTAGATACTCTAAATCCCAGACATAAACTGTTGGTAGTAATGTAGATCAGTTAAATAAGGACGTCATTTCGAGTCCACGGGCCTAGTAGTCGATAACGGTAAAGACAGTATGAATAGATAAGGTGCTTGGACGTGAAGAGAGCGATCCGCTCCCGTACCGTCTATGAAAGAAAGTTGAGAAGGATAAAGAGAAGGAAGAAGCCGCCAACGGCTGTGGCGTAAATCTGGAGGACATCCATAAGGGGTGCATAGAAAGGCACTACTACTGACGTTGAAGAGAAGGAAGAGGGAGAGAAGAGAAATAGAGGGAAAAAACGTGAACGGGAAGGCGGGTACCTGAGACTTTTGGAGGGGCAGCAAAAATGGAGCATCAACTTTTAGCACAACGTTATATTTAGAATCCATCGAGAGTCCTACGACCAAAGAAACCAGAATCCTTACAGGAAAGGTTCAGCAATCTGACGATCAAGGGATCCGTTTATACTGCTGGCTTATGGAGTCTATAGGCGGAGACTCCAGCCCAATCGACCATTCATCCGAGCCAATCCTTCCGCCAATCACACTGAAGCAAGCGGTGCTGGAAGTCGTCAATTTATGATTGCAAAGATAGAACCTCGACTCACTTTCATCAAGTATTTCGCCGAACTGGCGGAGGTCGTCAATGACAGAGAATCCACAGCAGCAGAGTCGTGAGGCCAACGATCCAAATTCTCGATCCCGACGGCTCCGTCCTCTTTGACATATTTCTGCATCAATTCTATCACGATCCTACTCAGCGCCCTGATATCTCCGACACCAATATTGCCTGACGGATCGACTAAGCGACAGCGTTCTTAATCCGCTACCATGTCAAGTCAGTAAAATTCCGCTCTCCTGGAGGACGAAACATCATCACGCGATACACAGGCTATGACGAGGATAGTGATAGAGACCAACCGATCTTGACGTCTTCTTTCGAGCTCAGAAGAATAATCGAGTAGCTTAAAAACCCGTGCTTTAGGCCTTTCGAGGCAAGGTAGGCAAAACCTCGAAGTATCTATCGTAGTCAGTATATACTCCTTCGATTTATATCTCTTTGATCTACCTGTTCTAGTATAGCGGCTAGTTCCTACTCATCGGGATAGGTAGAAGAAGCAACGATCTACATTAGATAAATAGCTATACGCTTGAGGACGACGTAGAACGAGCCCTCGAAACGAAAGGTCTCGAGGACGTTCACGATTTTGTCGTGCCGAATCCTATAGATTATCTAAATATCCTCCTGAGAGCTCCGCTCCGAAAAGGTTTTCACAATGACACACTTGCGGAGGGGATCTTTCCGGACGACAACGGTTACAAAGCGATCGAACTTGAGCTGGAAGATCCTCCAGTAGCTTTCCCATGGAGAGGCCTCTTTTAATATAAAATCGTACGATCGGACCCTAAATATTCCTATCGCTCTATCTATCTGCGAAGAAAGGAATCTCTTTCTTTTCGATATATTTTTCTTTAGAGCCTAGCGATTCTGCGATCGGTGTTACTCTTCTATAATATAGCTATCTAACTCTAGAAGTAAAGAGGGTTACTCTAGGCCTATTAGGTCTTTCAGTATGAATTAAGTATCGCGGTTGAGATTCTAAGAGGTCATATTCGACTACGTAATAAATAATATAGTGAATAAATAAGAGTATTAGATATAGCGAGTAAGTAAATTAGAGTAAAGGAATATTAAAAGTAGATATAAGTCTTATAATAGTTAAGTAGCTATTAAAAGCTTAGATTAGATAGAATTAGCTAGAGATAAAAAGAAAAGAGAGTAAAAGGAAATAGAATAGAGAGAGGTACTTTTAAAGGCTAGAACTAGCTTCTAATAATAATTCTCTAAATTAGAATACTTTCTACATCTTAATATATTTTATTTCTTTCTTCTTTCGATTCTTCGTTTATTAAAGTTTATTAAGATAAAAAGAGCTTTAGTCTTAGAGATAGAGTTAAGAGTTAAGATAGATAAATATATTAAGTATAAGAGAATCGCTTAAATTAAGCTAAAATCGCTCTTCTTTTAATTAAACGAATCGTATATAAATAATCGAAAGAATATTAAGAGATTAAAGTTTATCTTTCGAGAAGAATATTTATAGCTTAACGCTAGTAATTATATCTCGATTATAATCGAAGAGTAAGCTCTTCTTACTATTATTCGACTTTCGAAAATTATAGTAGAATAACTAATTAAATATTTCTTAGACGACTATTTAAAGTTAGTTTTTTTAGCTAACTATTAATTAAAATATCTTTATAAATAAAATAAAATTTAGACGATAAAGGAGTTAAGATTAAAGTGATAGATTATAGATCTATATCTTATAGATATAACTATTATTACTCTATATTATAACTCTTCTAACGAATACTTTAACTAGATCTTTATCTTAATTTAAAAATATATCTAATTAAGAAACATATTAACGAAAAAAAGTTAAGCGACGACGAGATCTACTGCAAGATTTGTTAATACTATTTTTAACGAAATTTACGCTTTAAACGGCGATAATAAAGTCGATTAAGTTAATATAAGAATCGATATTTTAAGTAACTCTTCAGACACGATAAGCTAATCGCCGCTTTTAACGCGCTTTTAAAGATTTCTAGGCTCTAAGGCGGGATAAGGATCAGCACGTTACACACAATTATAGCCATGAAATGCGATAATATAAAATAGGACACCCTGCCTGCGTATCACGTTTACTAATTACCCCATAAATAATCCTCCGCTACCTAAAACATATCAAAGATGTCTAATATACACTTCTGCAGGGAGATATAAACGCCATACTCCTGGTGGATCAAGAGACAATCGAAGCGATAGAGCTGAGAGCACCACGGACCTCGACGGAAGATGCCAAGATATTATGCGGCCAACTACTCGGAGGGGTAATCTTCAGCGCTTTCAGCGATTAAGCTCGGGCAGGAATATGGACTAGACTACAGATGTTGGATGGTCTCGTCCCTTTCATCTTCACCTTCTTCAAGGACGTCCACTATTTGGAGGTGTTGGCCGGCTGTATGACCCGGTTAACAAGGCTTTTGCCTGAGGACACAGTGTCCACAGCGCTCGCAAGAGCCTTTTCCGATACAACCGAAAGAACGGACAGAGCTGTCCTCCAGATCGCAGAGTCCAGCTTTACGTCCTGCCCAGCGCAGTCGGTCGATCCAGTGGACTTGGGTCTTCGACAGCTATATGCCTACGCCATGCGCCATTACCCTCAAATGCCCAAAAGTCCCAAACCCTCTACAAGAAGAGAGATTATGATGCGGCCGACGACCCACGCAGATCCAACAGTGCTGCGCGAGTTCGCTGAATTGGCCGAACGCTTAGGGTTTGAGTCGCCCGAGATTGCAGACCTGAAGCAATATCCTACGGTAAGGTTTCCGAGAAGCCAAACCGAAACACGCAAACCCTTGCTCGTCACGGCTAGGACCGGACATAAAACTAGAGCCAGTTAATAAAGTGCAAGGAGCAAGTATCCTCAAGAGTAGCCTCAGACGATTAATAGAAGAACAGTGTAATTAGTAGTTTACTCGTTTAAACCCTATCTAATATCTAAGATAAATAAGATTTACTAAAACTCATTAATATATTTTAAAATCTTCCTTTAGCGATTAATTAAGTTAAATTATATATATAAAAGACGGGTATAAATATATCTAAGTATATCGAGTTATATAATTAAGTATAAATAAGATTATTAAAAAAGTAGTATCTTTCTACTCTGCGAGAAAACGTAAATCATAATATTCTAACGATATAAACGCTATCTTTTAATTCTTTTCGATTATAAAGCGAGAACGTAGCTAATCTCTTAATACTATAAGCATTTTTTAATAATCGAGATCTCTTATATAAGCTTCTTACGCTTATACTAAATCTTATAATTATTAATAAAATATCTTATTAATTCGCTAGATATATAGATAATAAACTTAAATTTAAGAAATATATAGAACTTCTATTAGAATACTTCTTTATTAATATAAAAACTAGATTATTTTCTTTCTTTATATATTCTATACTTTATTATTAATACTTTTATATATTTAAAAAAGATAAAACTACTATAAGCTAGCTCGCCTTAATTATCATTATATTTACTATATCTTTAAAGATTATACTTTATTATTCGCTTATATAAAGACATCTTCTACTATATTATAATTACATCTATTTAATACTATAGCGATATTTATAAGAAGTCTTTAAAAATAGAGAATACCTCTTATTTCTTAGCAGCGTATATTATTAACTAGAAAATCTATACTTAAATCAAAGCAAGATAAAAGAGGTCGAAGATATATACCTGCGGGCATTAATAGGATATAAAAAGACCTAGAGTTTCGAGTATATGTCGACGCTTAATACGATTAATAATCTAGGCACTCTATATAAGAATTAAGATAAGATAAAAGAGGTCGAAGATATATATCTATGAGCATTAGCGAGATATGAAAAGGTCTAAGATTCTAAGTATAAGTAAGCCTTAGATATAAGATATAATTTAAGATTCCTTTATAAGATAAGATTTAAGTTCGAGAATACGATATAATAATTTAAGCTTATTATATAAGGATATATATAATTATTAAGCCTAGAATATAATAAGATTATTAAAATCTTAAATTAATTGAAAAATTATAAAGTCGATTAGAAGAGAAGAAAGAGATATTATAATTTATAACTCTAATAAAGCCTCGTTTAGTATAAGAGGAAAGCTGTTTTTATCGCAATTGGGTCAACTTGATAGCGACCCAGTAGAGCATAATAAGTCGATATGATCATGACGCTTATAATATTAATCAGGTTTCTGTAAGGCACCGTCGACGATTTAAGGAGCGCGAGGCACTTCATTCCGCAGATTGCTCCTCGGCTTATTCCTCAAGATAAAGAAGAAGAATCATGTATCTATGCAGTCGACGGAGGCATTGAGGCTCCTTTATAATCTGGTACAATATATACTTGCGAGGTTATTTTGTTAATGAAAGACACTATGCTACTCAATGAGTCAGAGTGTTTAGTTGAGACATACTTAAAATAAACGGAACTGAGAGATTTGCCGGTAGTGTTCTTACTAAATACCACCGCTCCACCTCTGACAATTGCCATATCCTTTTCATGCTAGATATCAAAAACCTTCACCCATCCTCTACATGCTACCTCTCCTTTCAGTATCTAGACCATATTAGCATCTCATCAACATTGATACATTCACGCTCAATTACAGAAAGGCCATACCTCACTTCACTCAGCTATGTAAACAGACTAAAATGCCTATATTTCCACCATCCCAAGAGATATTGCAATCACCTCAAAGTGCAGTCACCGATGATATAGCAAGTCTCACGTGCCTAGAACGTCCCCTGCTGCGCTGCGGGAAGGCATACAAAGAATTCAAGGCATTGATTCTCAGCTGCACAATGCATTCTGTTGGATCCAAACATAGTATGCGGGATTGGGCAAAGCTGAGGTATATGGGCAGCGATATTTCCGGGTTCAAGAATGTCCTGGCTGGCTATAAGTCTACTATCAATATTGCGCTTGGGGACGTAAATCTGTATGCTCTATCTCCTATTCTCGTTGGGGCTCAAGCTAACGGTTCGGGTAAAGTCGCCAATCTAAAATAACGGCCAGCGCCCTCGGCGGAGTGGGTGATGGATAGAATTATTCTATATGTTCGTCAGAACCGGGCACCACTAGCTGTAGAATGTTCGCCTCCTCAAGCATATCAATTTTGTAAAATGAAAATATATAGCGAATGGCAGTAGTGTCTCAAATATACTAGAATAATCTTAATTTCTAAAATTTTAAGAATATATAGATAAACTCCTTCTAGAAATAAAATAGTGACTAACGATTACCGATCCTTATCTATATATATCGATCTTTCTTATTTATCTCCTCGCTACGCTTAATATTTCGCCTTAAACTCTTATAGTAGTTTCTATATATTTTCTAACTCGTATTTAAATAGTTATATTTTCTTCTAGTACACCTTATATTTATAATTTTTCCCTCTTTATCTCTTATCAATAATTCTTATAATCTTTTACTTCTCTTTATTTAATATTAAAGTTTTTTAATTCTAAAATCGCTTAATAAGAGATAGAGAAATAATAATTACGTAAGAGTAATAGACGATTATTATTATTCCGCGATTATCTCTATAGATTATCTATTTAACTCGACCTCGAAATAATATAATATTAGAAGAGATTAAATAATTAATAAAAGAGAAGATAGATTCGATAGTGAAAGGATTTAAGTAATTATATATTTTTAATTATTTTCTTAAGTGAAAGCTTTAAAAGTATATAGTATTAATTTTAGACTTTATATTTATAATTCTAGTAGAAGCGCTAATTTCGCTAATCTTTTTATTATTATCTCTTATAATAAGAGAATTATTTTAAATACGTTAGATAAAATCTCGAATATTAATTAGAAATATATTAAGGGATATATTTTAATTATTATTAACTTTACTAAATCGTCTAAAGCTTATTAATTTCTTATATTATTAAAAATTTTATAAAAAGATAAATTATCTAAAGATAGACTTAGATTATAATTAGATTTATATAAAATTAAGATCGTTTAAATTATTATCGATATTATCTATCTTATTAATTATAATTACGTCTATTTAGAGTTATTAAAAATACTCACGAGAGAAAAGTATTTATATATTAATCTTTACGCTAGATCTTCTTTAATCTATATATATCTTCTCCGCTCTCATTTAAATCTATAGTATCTACTATATATTTAAAGAAATCTTAAATATTAATAATATTTATAGCTATTATAGACGTATTATCTATAAAGTTCGTTAGATTTCATATCTATAAAAATTTAGCCGAATCTATTACTAACTCTAGAGTATCTTTTTAATATAAAGATCGCTATAAAACTAGTAATAATTTAGAATTTAGCGATATACTAGGTAATAAAAGAGAGTATTAGATAATATTATCTATACTATCACTTATTCCTTTATCCCCTTTCTTTTTCCCTCTATAGAAATAATAAGACTCGATATTTTTAAAACTAATTTCTATATTATATATCGACGAGAGGAGGGTAGTAGAGAGTGAAGGAGGAAGAGAATTAGAGATAAAATCTACTATTCTAGATAGGCGCTATCTATTAATATTAAGATCTGCTAATAAAAGTTTTAAAGGTTTTATTTAGCTTTTAAGCCTATTATAGAAATTCGTAAAGTATTAAAAAAGTAATATCTTTCATCTTATTTAGAAGTCGAGCTACCGCTTTTAGAGTAAATGCTACTACTACTCTTAATATTTATATTCTTATCTTTATCTAATCTTAAGCCTAATTATTATAATTCTTATACTTCTTCGACATCGAGTATTAATTCCTTAAAGAATAAAAAGTTTTCGTTTTTCTCTCTATTACTTCTACTATAACTATTATTAAGATCGAGTTTATTTAAGAAAGTTAGAGCTATTATTAAAAATTTATAAAAAGTAAAGATAGCGAATATTACCTTCGGCGTATAATTTAGTATTTTTAAGATTTAATATATATTTATAGAATAATAAATCGAGAGAATCCTTTAATAACGAGAAGTTAATCGAATTAAAAACTTCGATTAGATCGTAATTATTAAATAATCTACTCTATCCGCCATTAAATCTAGAAATTATAAAAATATATCCCTTTCTATAGATAATAAGAATATTATTAACTAATGCTATTAATAGTTTATTACTAGTTAAATCGACTTTAATAGAGAATTAATAGAATTAAATAAAATTTAAATCGATTAAAGTTATTATATCTTAGATTAAGATAAAAGAGCTTTATATATAATTTATAATTAGAAATCTAAGATACTTAGAATAGAATTAGATAAGAATTATATATATTTCTAAGTTATATCTATAGCGATAATATCGTACTTATACTCTCTTTAATTAATAAACCACTAAAGATATTATCTTAATATCGTCTTCTTTATTCTTATATCTACTATTTACTTCTCTTTAATAATCTTAATTATTAATCTCTAGCTATTATCGCTTAATCTTTATTTATTTATTTTATATCCTATAATATATGCTAGCGTAATCTCTTAACCCTTATTATCTTATATTTAATTCATATCTTATTCTAGTTAAATCTTTATTATACTTCTCGAAGATATCTAATTATAGAGTTATATCAGCTATAGCTATTTAGATTTTACGCGCTAGAATTTCTATAATAAATTAAAGATATTATATTCTCTTCGATCTATAGTAAAAAGTAAGATTATTATCTTAAGACTACATTATTAGAATAAGATAAATATAAAAATCTAGTTAACGCAGTCAGATAAATACAAAAAAAGCACTATCAATTAAGGCGAAGAGATTTCATTCTTTAATTTTAACTTATCGCCGCTACTCGGCTTTATACTTAACTTCTCTAATACTATATTATCTAATTACGATAAAGAAGTAATCTCTATCTACGCGGCTAGATAAATATAAGAGAGATATTTCTTTCATTAATTATATAATAGCTATTTTCAAATTAAATAGTTACTTCGCTTTAAAATACTTATTATAATTTAAAATTTTCTATTAATATTATTATAGAGTTATAGATTAGCTAAATAATAATAAAATAGTAATTAAGATAGAAAGATTAAGATAGAAAGATTTAGATCGATAGATTTAAGCGATAAAGCGTCTTAATATAATTAAAAAAGAAATTATCTTTATTTATTAAGAGCGAAGCTAAGTTATAACGCGAGCGTAAGATATAAGATAGCGAATAAGAGAATTTACCTTTATTATTAGCTTTAACTATAAAAGAAAGTAAGTAGACTAAAAGATAGCGAGAATAAAATATATAATAAAATAATTCTAAAGAGAAAGATTATTAATAAAATATCTTATATAAAGATTAAAGTATAATAATTAGCGATAATTAATAGAAGCTAACTAGATAATTAAAGGGAGATTATATAGGCCTTTATAATATAAGAAAGAGTAAGAAATAATAGAAAGATATAAAAGAAAGATAAAGGGGAAAGTAGAAAAATAGCGAGGGATATAGATCTTTATATCTTAGAGAAAGCGGTGGGTAAGACGATATCTAATACCTTATCCGAAGAGATTACGCTAAACTTAATAAGGCCGCGCTTAGCCTAAAAGTAGGAAAGAGTAAGTATTTTATTAGAATATAGATTATTCTTTAATAAATATAAAATAATATAAAATAAAAGATAAAGTATTATTTTAAATATTATTTTAAATATTAGTATATATAATAGAATAAGATAGGGCTAAGCTATAAAATCTTAAATTTATATATATAGTTAATTATAAATTTAGGGTTACTACGCTCTTTGATTAGATCGACTAAGTTATCGCGGGTAAACAAATTAGCGTCCGTAATTATCAAAATCTCTTATCCTACTTTTAATCATTCAATAACTTTACTATTTTCTATTAAAATTTTAAGATTTCTTTTTTAAATTGAACGGCGTAGATTGCGCTTTTAAATGCTTTAAGAATTATGAAATATAGTCTTATAATTATTAAAAGGCAAGGCACTCAAATATCGCTCATTAAAGATCGCTCATCAAAGATCGCTTACCAAATTTACTCGATAGCCCTGATCAAAAAAGTGATTATGAATTTAATTCATAGGCCTTTACTCGTTAATTTATAAATTAATAGCGAATAATAGTTTATCTTATTAAAAATATATTAAATATTAGAAAGAACTTAGTAAGTATAATTTATATAATATTAATATTATTAATTATTAAAGTAGATAATAAATATATATTTAATATCGCTAATAATACTTATTAATATTAGTATATATAAAAGAATAAGATAAAATTAAGTTAGAAAATCTTAAATTTATATATATAGCTAATAATAAATTCGATAGATCTACGCTTTTTAATTAGATATCGCGAGTAAATAAATTAATATTTATAACTATTAAAATCTCTTACTCTACTTTTAATCCTTTAATAACTTTACTATTTTTTATTAAAAATTTTAGATTTTTTTTAAGATTATAGCTCGTAACTTATACTTTTTAATAATAAATAAATTATAAAATTTAATCTTATAATTTTTCAAAGGTATAGAATTTAAATATCGCTTATTAAAGTTCGCTCGTTAAATTTACTAGATAGCCGACAGCTCTAAGTAAAAAATAGATATATATTATTTAATTTTAGAATAACTTTTTTAATTTTTTATTAAAAATTTTTAGTTCTTTTTTTAAATTATAGAACGTAATATAGACTTTCAAATAAAAAAAGAATAATTAAATTTAGTCTTATAAATATTTAAGAATAAAGATTTTAAATATCGCTCTTTAAAGTTCGCTCGATAGCTTTAATTAAAAAATAAGTATATATTATTTAATTTAAGAATAACTTTTTTCTATTAAAATTTTAGAATTTTTTTTTTAAATTATAAAACGTAATTTATACTTTTAAATAAAAAATAAGTTTAGGGCTATAAATTAAACTTATAGAAAGTAATTTATTTTTAGATCTAATTTCGATATTAAATTCGATTCTCGAACTTCGAAGAGTAAAAATATTTTAATTTAAGATTTACTTAGAACTATAAGATCGAATTTTAAAAATTTTAAATTATTAGAAAGCGTAGAATAAGTCCTATAATTTAAAAAATAATAGTAAAATTTAATAGAAAAAAGAGAAGTTATATTAATAATAAGTTTATAAAGAGTTAATTAACTTTAAATTAATTTAGATTTAATTAATAAGAAGTTAATTTTAAAATCTATTATAGTTTTTTTATAATAATAATTATTATTTTTATTTTTATAATTTATAGAATTTTTATTAGTTTTACGATTTTTACGATTTTTACGATTTTACGATTTTACGATTTTTTAGAGAGAGAGATTTATGAATTCGAATCGAGAACGAAGCGAAATAGTTTCGAATTTTATTAAAATTATTACTACTCGACTATTTAAGCTTATATTAAAGGATATTTTTAATAAAGTATATAAGTTTTTAATAAGCGATATTTAATTTATTTATCTTAAAATATTTATAAGACTAAATTTAATAACTCTTTTTTTATCTAAAAGTCTATATTATATTCTATAATTTAAAAAAAGAATTTTAAAATTTTAGTAGAAAATAAAAAGGTTATTTTTAAAAGTAAATAATATATATCTATTTTTTAATTAGAGCTGCGGGCTACCGACTATCAAGTAAATTTAATAAGCGAATATTAAGGAATAGTTCTTAATATCATAATATTAGTGTGGTGTAAAGTTGTTCTATTAATCTATGTGGTCTGCAGGCACATATGTGCGGAGAGAGGCACGCTAAGGGCCTGATTAGGAAGGTGTACCGAGTGTGGAGGATTGATCCGTAACAAGTGCCCACAAAGAACAGAAAAAGGCCATGTCCTCATGGCAAGAAGTATACATACATGATTTTTTGAATGTCGGAAAGGAATGGAGATGCCGGGCCAATTAGTAGTGTGAATCCCACGAGTTCTCCTGCCGCAGCGAAGCCCTTCGAATAGTACCGGAGCAAGACATCAGACGGTTTCAATTCGTCCAAATATGCATCGTACGATCTTCCTCCTGCAGTGGCCCAATTGGCTATCATGACTTGGCTGCGATCGACGTAGTAGGTCCTCCTCTTGTGTAGTCATTGCAGTGATGTACCACAATGTGATATTGCCTAGGTATGCAGAGATAGCAGGCCAAATTGTAGTGTCGTTCTCCGCTTGCTGAGTGGTGACTTGACGTGGGGTCGTGGAGAGCATATGACGTGGGATCTCGGAGAGCTGAGCCGTGTTCTTGACGAAGGTGGCCTTGTTGCCGCTTGATTTCTCCGCAGTGTTCTCCGCATTTGCCTGCTGCAATGTTTCCTCCTCTTGCTTTGACTGAGTGATTGGCTGATCTGATAGAATAGGTAGTGTTGACTGAGCCGCTGGCCGGGTGACTGGCTGAGTGGCTCGCTGTAATTGAGGGTGTTCGACACTTGGAAGGATTTGGCTTGGTTGCTGGCGAAACTCATTACGTAGTTGATCCATTCCAGTCCTTAGCATAGTCTCAGTATTCAGACTCGCTTAGCGAGGTACCCTATGGCCAGCCCTACACTCGTTCCTCGCTTCGGGGACCAATCATATCGTAAGCTTATTACGATATACCCCCTCTCTAAAGTCTAAGTAGAAAATCATAAAATCGCTATATTAATCGTTATTTTATATAAAATACCTATAATAATTAATCGAAATGCGAAATTCGCGACTTTTAACAATTTTTTACGATTATTATATAATTCTTTAAAGTTAATCGCGAAGGGAATAAGTTTATCGAGATCGCTAATTAAGTATTTAAGTCTTTTATTAAAATCGAATAGCTTATTATTATCGTATAAGTTAATTTAAATTTATAATTATTATAAAAATATAAGTAGTCTTAATAAGATACTTACTTTATTAAGTAAATAAGCTTATTAAATAAATATCTCGCTAAGCTTACTAGCTTACTATTATAAATAGTAAATTTCTAAATAGAAATAATTAAGCTTATTATATATTATAATTATAAATTTTTATTATTATTATAATATAATAGTAATACTATTTCTTAATATTTCTTAATTATTAAGAGATTTTAGAAGTTTTTTTATTAGACTAATTAAAGAAAGCTTATTCTTAAAAAAAGCTTATTCTTTAAATCTTATCTTAAGCTTTTATTATATAAATTCTTTAAATATATTACTTCTATTATTATAGTTATAACTATATTTACTATTAAAGATATTAAAACTTAATATAGCTTAATATAGCTTAGTACTTAATATCTTAGACTATAGCTGCTCTTAAAAGAATTATTATAACTTTATTATTAAAATATTATATTTATATTTATAATATAATAATTAATAGTAATATTAATATTCGATTTAAAGATAATATATTTAGTTATTATTTTAAATCGAGATTATTTTAATAGTAAATTAATCGATAAATATTTTAAAGGATTTCGAAATATATTAATCGCTTTTATTTATATCTATTCTATTATCTTTAACTTTATTATCTTAAAATTATTTTTTATTAATTTCTAATTATAATTATATTATATTAAAAAGCTTAAAAAAATATTTATTAATTTATTAATTTTTTAATTAAGCTAGCTTTAAATATATAAATTATTAATAAAATTCTTAAATTATTATTTTAGTTATAATTTTCTAAATATAAAATTATTTTAAGAGAACTCGAATTTTATTAATCTTATTAATATTTATATTATTAAATATCTTATTAGAAATAATTTTAAATTCTCTTAATTATATATAAACTATTAATATTTTAATTAATCTATATTCTAGATAGAAGACTTAAAAAAAGTTAATTAATTTTATACTTCTTTAAATAAAATATTAATTAAATCTAGAATCTTTTAAAATTATCTTTATCTATAAAAGTAATTCTAAAAGTTTTATTAATATTAATCTTAGTTTTAATAAAAATAAGAGAATCTATTAAAGTTAAAAGAAATAATTTTTTTAACTCTAAAAATTGTCTTAATATAAATTTTAACGATTTTATATTTATTAAATCTTTTAGAGTTATAGAAAAACGTTTAATAGTATAATTAAATATTATAAAATATATAACTAATTAAATTAAAGAGTTAATTAAGATTTAAAAAATTTTAAAAAATTTATAATATTTTAAAAATATCTATTAATAAGATTATATAGCTATTTTAATAATTATTAATAAATTAATTAAAAAGAAATTAGATTATAAATTATCTTTTCTATATAAATCTCTAATTAATATTAATATAAATATTATTTAAACTATTTATTAACTTCTATTAGAGATTAAAAAGAAATTTTATTAATTTAAAATAAATTAATAATTTCTAAATTAAAATTTAATTTAATATATATTAGACGGCTAAAAAGATTTTTAAATTTAACTTAATATAATAAGAGAAAAATTAAGAGAATCGAGTACTTTTAATTTATTTTTCGAATTTATAAATAAATTTACTAATTATTATTTATTATTAATATTAAATAATAATATTTAAAACTATTTCTATAAATATTAGCTTTTTTTAATAAAATATATATTTTAATACTTCGCGCTTAAAAGATAGAAATTATTAAAAATTATTAAAATTAAAAAATAGATTATTTAGATCTATATAATTAGAAAGTTAAAGAAGATTTAATTAGATATATATTTAAAAGATTTATAAATTTAATAGATTTTCTAATTATTAATTCTTTATCTTAATATTAATTAATTTTTTAAATTATTATCTTTTTATCTCGCTAGAATATAATATTAAAAGATCTAAAAATTCGTTTAAATCTTCTTCTAGAAATTTATCAAAATTCGAAACTCTAAAGATTTATCTAAGAATTTTATTAATAATTAAAAAAGTTTAATTATTTAGTAATTAAGAATAAGTTAATTTACTTATAAATAAGAGTTATCTAATAAAATATAAAGCTTTATTAAAATTATAATCTTAACTCTAGATTTAAATTTATTTCTAGAAAAAATTATTACTTAAAATTAATTTTAATTATTATTAGAATTAAAATAATTATTTATTTTAAAAATATAATTATCTATATATCTAAAATAAATACCTCTTTTAAAAATATAAAAATTTTTAAAATAGTTTTTAATTATATAAGTATTTAAACTATTAAAAATCTTTAAATTAATAAAAAACTTCGAAGCTTTATTTAAGAAATATTATAATATTTAATTATTAAAAATATTTCGCGATTTTCTTTATTTATTATTTTTAATATATCGTAAAATTAAAAAATAATACTTTTATTTTTTAAGTATTTTTAATATATTTAAAAAGAGATACTTTAAAATAATATAATAACTTTTTTATAAAAGTTTGTTAAAAGATAAATTATAATCTAATAATATAGAAAGATAAACTTCTTTAAAAGTATTAATTAAATTATTTTAAATTTTTAAAAAAGATAAAAAAGATAAAGTTTTAATTTAATAATTTCTTTATTACGCTAAATTAATATTTAATAAAAAAAAATTATTTATATAATATCGAAGTTATAAATAAAAACATAATTATTAAATATCTTTAATAGAGATTAGATATAAATTTAATTCTCGCTATAATTATATATAAAAAGAGAGATATAATTAAAAATTTTAATAGATAAATTTATAATAATAAGATAGCGATAAAGTGTATTTATAAGATAAATAAATTTTATTAAAAGCTTAATTTATCAATAGCTCTAATATTAATTAGAGTTTAATAATTTTTAAATATCTAATAATAAAAGAATTAATTTAGACTATAAAGTCTAAATTTAAAATTAATTTAAATATTAAATTTAAATAATTATTAAAAATATTTAAAATTAAAAAAAATAAATATTAATTTAAAAAGTTATTATCTTATTATTATAGATATTATAATAAAGATTATTAAAATAATAATTATTAAAAAAGTAGTTAAAAGATTATAAAGATTAATTTAGAAGAAATAGATATTAATAATAAAAATAATAATAATAAAAACTATAATAATAAAAAAGAGAAAGATCTCGATATCTATAATTTCCAGATTTATATAATTTTAAAAGCTTTAATAAAAGAGAAAAGCTAAAAAGAATTCTCTTAAAGCTTCTAATTAATAATTAAAATTTAATTAAAAAAAACTTTATTATTATATTAGCTATAAATATATCTTTAAATATTATATTAAACTCTTAATATTATTTATAAATATCTTTTAAAAATATTAATAATTTAGATTTTATATTAATATTCATTATAAATATAAAATTAAAAAATAATAAGAAAAATAATATAGTATTTAAGAAGTTTTTTAATATTATATATAATTATTATAATATAAATAAATAAATATATCATTTTTATATAAACTCTAATTCTAAAGTGTTTTTAATATCTAATTAATATTATTTAAGATTTTTTAATTAGAATAAAGTTTATTTTATATTTAATAAAAGAAAACTTCGCTATAAGAAAGTAGAAGCTAGAGTATTACTATCGCGAAATTATATATACTTCTTTATTAATATATAAATAATAATTAAAAAAGAAATAATAATCTTAAAAGAGCTTTATATTATATTTAATTTATCTTATAATATAATTATTAATATTAATATTCTAAATTTAAATAAAATAAATATTTAATAGAGAAAACTCGATTCTATTATTATAAAAGATAGAGATAAAATTTCTATTTAAGTAACTCGAAAAATTTTAAAAATTAAAATTAAGATCTTAAAATCGCTATTTATATTTATATTATTAATAAAAATAAAAGTTTTATAAATATCGAAATAAAGAAAAATTAATATCTACGCTATATTAACTACGATTTTTTAATTAAATATAAATTAAAATATTTTTATTAAATATCGATCTCTAATATTAAAATACTTTTATTTATTTAAATTTACTTTTATTATTAACTTTTAGCTTAAAATCTTTATATTAAATATTTAAATTATAATTAATAATAATCTCTAAGCTATTTTTATAATTAACTTTAGAAAATAAATTAATTAAAATTTATAAAAGCTAGCTATTAAAAAAATTATTTATTCTTTAAAACTCGATTAAATTTATAAAAATAAATTTTTATTTTATTAATATCTTTATAAGAAAGTTATAATATTATAAATAGATATTTTTAAATATTAAAGATCGAAATATAAAAATTAAATTAAAAAGATATTTAAAAGATATTAAATACTATTTTAATCTAGTCTAAAGCGTTTTAATAATAAAATTAAAATATTAATATCTTTTAAAGATAAGATTAATTTCGCTAGATTTAAATAAAATTCTTATAATCTATTTTAGCGAAATTATTAAACTATAGATTTTATTTTAAACTCGCTAATAAAGTAAAATTATATTAAAAAGATATCTCTAGAAATTTCTTTAATTATTTTCTTATTAATATCTATAATATAAAAAAATAGTAAATTTTAAATTATTATCGATTTAAGAAAGATAAATATTAAATTATATCTCAATATCTA